GAACACATGTAACTATACTGCAAGGAAGTGAAGAACATCAGAAATAGGAAACAAAATTGAATTTTCTGCAGATCTGTTTTTATATTTGCATAACTCCTCCCACTTCATACATCAGGACCAGGGGCGGACTGACCATTCAGGCACTCGGGTCAGTAGGGAGCCCCATGAGATGCCCCTGGTATCTTTCATAGGCTTTTTTGGGTGTGCTTTGAGTCTGCGCGAGGACACAGGGGCCCCATGATCCCCTATTACCCGGGAGCCCCATGAGTTGTCAGTCCATCCTTGATCAGGACGGAGGGTTCTTGAGAGGAGTACTGAGGCGGGGTGCTGTGATGTTTTCAGGAAACTACACAGCACCTTGTATGCCCCTCCCACCAACCATGATCTGGCTGCATTGCATACAGAAGCACAGAGACCCAGTGATGACATCACAGGGACTAAAATAAGGTAATGAAAATGGAAAGGTAAAATAAAATCCTTATCATGCTGATGAGGGAGGAGCCAAGAAGGCACTCTATATGAAAAAATCAAAAACTTTACACGTCGGATAGAATAGTCAATGTAACACAATGAAGGAAGATGAAGATACCTGGAAGATGGATACTAAAGTCACAACACCGTAATACCTGCAAAACAACAATTTACAAAACGTAAGGTTTCCCGGGTGCGGGACAGAAAAATCAAGGATTTTATTTCCAGATTCCTATTTCCTTAGGCGGATTCCACCCTCCCTGCCCCCGAAAAACCCTCCCCCCCAACAAACTCTCCCCCCCCCCTACTCACATGAGGTTCTGGATGGCGATCCGCACAAGGTTCAGCTCCACGTCGGCCTCTGCGGAGATCTTCTGGATGTGACGGAACCCATCGATGTACGGGAGAATCTAGACAAGGCAAATGTAAACCCGGGTACAGAATCATTTGTAGCTCTTCATACATAACACTCAGCGTCCCTGTCCGGAGGAACTCCTCCTGTAACGGATCCGACCCCAGACTGCACTTGGGTACTTCCGTTAGACTCCCGCTTCTCCGTCCGAACACCGACCACAGACACCACAGCCGACCATACGAGACGAGACGACACCAATCGTGAAGTAAACCAGGAAGTAGACTCGTTTATCTCAACAGATACAAGATATATACACTCAGGGGACACTCCCCCCTCCCTGCATAATGACACAGATACAAGATATATACACTCGGGGGACACCCCCCTCCCCTGCACAACGACACAGATACAAGATATATACACTCGGGGGACAGTCCCCCCTCCCTGCATAATGACACAGATACAAGATATATACACTCAGGGGACAGTCCCCCCTCCCTGCATAATTAATGACACAGATACAAGATATATACACTCAGGGGACAGTCCCCCCTCCCTGCACAACGACACAGATACAAGATATATACACTCGGGGGACAGTCCCCCCTCCCTGCACAACGACACAGATACAAGATATATACACTCGGGGGACAGTCCCCCCTCCCTGCACAACGACACAGATACAAGATATATACACTCGGGGGACAGTCCCCCCTCCCTGCATAATGACACATACAAGATATATACACTCAGGGGGACAGTCCCCCCTCCCTGCACAACGACACAGATACAAGATATATACACTCGGGGGACAGTCCCCCCTCCCTGCATAATGACACAGATACAAGATATATACACTCAGGGACACTCCCCCCTCCCTGCATAATGACACAGATACAAGATATATACACTCAGGGGACACTCCCCCCCCCCTGCATAATGACACAGATACAAGAAGATATATACACTCGGGGGACACTCCCCCCCCCTGCATAATGACACAGATACAAGATATATACACTCAGGGGACACTCCCCCCTCCCTGCATAATGACACAGATACAAGATATATACACTCAGGGGACACTCCCCCCTCCCTGCATAATGACACAGATACAAGATATATACACTCAGGGGACACTCCCCCCTCCCTGCATAATGACACAGATACAAGATATATACACTCAGGGGACACTCCCCCCTCCCTGCATAATGACACAGATACAAGATATATACACTCGGGGGACAGTCCCCCCTCCCTGCATAATGACACAGATACAAGATATATACACTCGGGGGACAGTCCCCCCTCCCTGCATAATGACACAGATACAAGATATATACACTCGGGGGACAGTCCCCCCTCCCTGCATAATGACACAGATACAAGATATATACACTCGGGGGACAGTCCCCCCCCCCTGCATAATGACACAGATACAAGATATATACACTCAGGGGACACTCCCCCCTCCCTGCATAATGACACAGATACAAGATATATACACTCAGGGGACAGTCCCCCCTCCCTGCATAATGACACAGATACAAGATATATACACTCAGGGGACAGTCCCCCCCTCCCTGCATAATGACACAGATACAAGATATATACACTCGGGGGACACTCCCCCCTCCCTGCATAATGACACAGATACAAGATATATACACTCGGGGGACAGTCCCCCCTCCCTGCATAATGACACAGATACAAGATATATACACTCGGGGGACAGTCCCCCCTCCCTGCAAGATAATGACACAGGGGATACAAGATATATATACACTCGGGGACAGTCCCCCCTCCCTGCATAATGACACAGATACAAGATATATACACTCGGGGGACACTCCCCCCCCCTGCATAATGACACAGATACAAGATATATACACTCGGGGGACACTCCCCCCCTCCCTGCACAATGACACAGATACAAGATATATACACTCGGGGGACAGTCCCCCCTCCCTGCATAATGACACAGATGACACAGATACACAGATATATACACTCGGGGGACACTCCCCCCTCCCTGCATAATGACACAGATACAAGATATATACACTCGGGGGACAGTCCCCCCTCCCTGCATAATGACACAGATACAAGATATATACACTCGGGGGACAGTCCCCCCTCCCTGCATAATGACACAGATACAAGATATATACACTCGGGGGACACTCCCCCCTCCCTGCATAATGACACAGATACAAGATATATACACTCGGGGGACACCTCCCCCTCCCTGCATAATGACACAGATACAAGATATATACACTCAGGGGACACTCCCCCCTCCCTGCATAATGACACATATACAAGATATATACACTCAGGGGAAACCCCCCCCTCCCTGCATAATGACACAGATACAAGATATATACACTCAGGGGACAGTCCCCCCTCCCTGCATAATGACACAGATACAAGATATATACACTCAGGGGACACTCCCCCCTCCCTGCATAATGACACAGATACAAGATATATACACTCGGGGACACTCCCCCCTCCCTGCATAATGACACAGATACAAGATATATACACTCGGGGGACACTCCCCCCTCCCTGCATAATGACACAGATACAAGATATATACACTCGGGGGACACTCCCCCCTCCCTGCATAATGACACAGATACAAGATATATACACTCAGGGGACAGTCCCCCCTCCCTGCATAATGACACAGATACAAGATATATACACTCAAGGGACACTCCCCCCCTCCCTGCATAATGACACAGATACAAGATATATACACTCAGGGGACAGTCCCCCTCCCTGCATAATGACACAGATACAAGATATATACACTCAGGGGAAACCCCCCCCCCTGCATAATGACACAGATAGAAGATATATACACTCAGAGGACAGTCCCCCCTCCCTGCATAATGACACAGATACAAGATATATACACTCAGGGGACAGTCCCCCCTCCCTGCATAATGCAACAGATACAAGATATATACACTCAGGGGACACTCCCCCCTCCCTGCATAATGACACAGATACAAGATATATACACTCAGGGGACAGTCCCCCCTCCCTGCACAATGACACAGGGCGGGGAAATCTAAATTTAGTAACAAGAAACACACCAGCAGACAGTCTCATCAGGAGGGAGGACTGCTGGAGACACCCCCCCCACCAAGCCAAAACACATAAATACATACATCCCATAATAGTTTGCTCCCAAGCCTGACAAACAGAACAAAGGGATGCAACCACACAACACCAAACAATCCACAACCCCCCACCCCAATATTAGGACAGATCACCCTGTACCCCTAACAGGCAGAGGGTGACTTACACATAAGAGGGATATGGAGAGCTGAGACAGGGTCTCCCCACTTCTCCAAAGTGAGCTGGGTCCCATGGGCCCCCCACCCAAAGTCACTCCCGTCCAAGGGCGGACTGACCATTCGAGCACTCAGACACTGCCCGAGGGCCCGGGGTCAGTAGGGGGCCCCAAAAAATGCCCTGGTACCTTTTATAGGCTTTTTTTGGGTGTGATTTGGTGTGATTTTAGTTTGGGCAAGGACACAGGGGTCCCATGATCCCCAATTGCCTGGGGGCCCCATGAGTTGTCAGTCCGCCCCTGCTCCCGTCACACCGCCCTTTTTTTCATTTTTCCACACTTGCAGTAAATCCTCTCCTGTGTTGAAATCGATGATTTATAAAGTTCCTAAAAATGTTGATCTCCTTAAAGTGTTACTAAACCCACAACAGTGAAATCAGTCTGTAGATGCAGTAATACATGCTGGGTATACTCACTGTGGAACCTAAGGGGTTAATCCTCTGCATTGTGTAAAAAGTCTGTTTGATCCTGTCTTCTCTGATCCTCCCCTTCTTCAACTGTCCCCAATCCATCTGCTGTTGGTACAGAGCTTTAGGAGTCACTCTGCACCTGCCCAGTTTAGTGTGTATGGCTAGAGAGTTTTTTTTTTTCCTTTGGGGAGGGTGCATGTGATCAGCACAGGGCCAATCAGCGCTGTCCAAACAGGTCAGGGGTTATGCCCTCATAGGACAATCAGGGGAGAATTAAAACTCCTACAAGCTTTAACCAGTGCTCAGCTGGACACTGATAGAAGTCACAAGACCGCTATATACTGCTGATGAGAAAAGGGATTTAGTAGTTTATATTTACTAAAATAATTGCATTTCCTTTTCTGTGTACTGTGTGAGAGCAGATAGTGAATGCAGGGTCCAGGGAGAGCGGATATAGCGAATGCGGGGTCCGGGGAGAGCGGATATAGTGAATGCGGGGTCCGGGGAGAGCGGATATAGTGAATGCGGGGTCCGGGGAGAGCGGATATAGTGAATGCGGGGTCCGGGGAGAGCGGATATAGTGAATGTGGGGTCCGGGGAGAGCGGATATAGTGAATGCAGGGTCCGGGGAGAACGGATATAGTGAATGCGGGGTCCGGGGAGACCGGATATAGTGAATGCGGGGTGCAGGGTTTAGTAACACTTTAACATAAGCCAATGAAATTGTCTGAAAGACTTCAATCATCATCATCATCATCAATCTCCTCTCCTCCTGACTGTAGTCCCACCTCTCACAGTTATTAGCTTCCTCTGCCAGCGATTAACAGTGAAATGCGGGGTCCCCGGGGAGAGCGGATTAGGGAGATGCGGGACCTGGGGAGAGGCGGTTCCCGGGATAGCGATATAGAGAAAGCTGCCAATTCATTTTTGCCCTTTGCAATGTCTGCACAGGATTCTTCACTCTTCTGAGTATTACATAAAAGAACACATCCCCAGCATCCTTTTAAACGCACATCCCTTCTGGTCACCGGGTGGTGCAGATTTTAGCTGTGCAGCCTGCTAATGAGTTGCTTGATGACACTCTAATATTATGTAATCAAGCAACTGATCAGCAGATTGCACAACCAAAGTCTGTATCGCCCAGTGGCCAGCAGAAATGCACATGTAAATGGATATTGGGAATGTTCTTTCATATAGCAGAAACACCCAGTGGTGAAATAACTAGGGAATCAAAAAAAAAAAAAAAAAAAAAAGGTATTTCTTGAAAACAAAATTATTTGATTAATAGATATTATGTGCACATTGATCAAAAGGGAAGGAGGGGGTTAAGGAAGGGAAGGTATTGTAAGCACACAGTATACTGGGACTCAGCATCATTCAACCCACTTCACGTGAAGATTTCCCTTTGTCCCCCCCCCCCACACACACTCCCAGAGGAAAAGGGGACTGTAATGCCCATACACCGCACATGCGTCCATGGATGGCTGAAGTTTTTGTGCCGAGAGAGCCCGCTCGCTGCATACTCCCAGCACAGTGACTGAGCGGTCAAATACGGATCCTGGTCTGTAGTGATGATCAGGGACTGTTGGGGATGGGCTCCCGATCATGTGACTGCTGTGACAGTCCTCCCCCCCTACCCCCAGATATAAAGACCCATTTGAAGGGATGTTGGAGCTGGGCGTGAAGGGGTTAACCTCTTGGTGCCGGTGCCTCCCAGCCCTTTAAGGGTGTTGTGATGCCGGGATTTAGGGTCATGTGACTGCCGTGATCAGCTGCCACAGCGGTCCCATGATCAGAAATCTCCCGGTCGCAAGTAGTGATCGGGACCTTTCCGTGAGGCGCCGGTAAAAGTGGCGGGAGTGCGCAGGGCGCGTGCTCTTGGCACGTTTTGCTGACATTAGGTACACAAATATGCGTCCTCTCGGCGTCGAAGGCTCAGCTGCTGGGAGCCCTCATATTTGCATACAGCCAAGGAGTTAAAATAATCGGCTGCTCTGAGCTTTTACCAGCAATTTCTTTACATTGGTGACAGGGCCTCTTTAAACAGTAAGCAGTTCGGTACAATCGATCCCCACTTACCTGCTGTGTCGTTAGGTCCCATTGTGCATTGCAGAATTCCTCCTTGTCCTCCGTGAATACGGGAACGTCATATTCCTGGGCAGTAGGGGGCGCCGCACGCAGCTCGATCACCTTCAGGTGCATGGTGTTACTTTCATCTATGGGATGATAACATATAACCGTGAACACTTACCCGCGTGGCACGGGATGCAGCGAATGACACCAACAATACCTATGGGCAGCGAGCACTCCCCGGTGGTGTTCAGCTCCTTCCTCAGGTAGGTCATTATGGGCACCAACCTCTGCTTGCTGTCCTCGTTGGAGATGAATCCAGACTCCAGCTGAAAGACAAGGAGAGAGGATGGAAGGAACGGTACAGTCAAGGTTTCCCTGTACTCGGAATATAGCCGGTGACCATGGGCCTGGTCAGGGCTGCTGTTAGAAACCACGGGGCCCCATACAGCTAACCTGACAGGGCCCACCAAACCATGGGGCCCCATGCAGCCAACCTGACAAGCCCACCATTCCCACAAAAAACAGTTTACTATGCTTCGGTTATTATTATACAGGATTTATATAGCGCCAACCAGGGGCGGACTGACCATTTGGAAACTCAGGCACTGCCCGAGGGCCCGGGGTCAGTAGGGGGCCCCATGAGATGCCCCTGGTACCTTTTTCATAGGCTTTTTTGAGTTTTGGCAAGGACACAGGGGCCCCATGATCCCCTATTGCCCGAGGGCTCCATGAGTTGTCAGTCCGCCCCTGGCGCCAACAGTTTGCTCAGCGCTTTACAATATAACGGGAGACAATACAGTTCAATACAAGAGGGATAGGAGGGCCCTGATCCTGGGAGCTTACGATCTTGGAGGGAGGGGCTAGTGGTACAAAAGGTAATAACTGTGGGGGATGGACTGGTAGGAAGATTCAGTTATTAGCTGACGGCAGGATAGGCTTCCCTGAACAGATCGGTTTTCAGAGATCGCCTAAAAGTAAGCAGAGTAGGCGAAAGTCTGATAAATTGGGGTAGAGAGTTCCAGAGGATGGGGAAGCTCAGTTCACGTATGAATCCACAAGGTGATTGATTGGTACCGATCACTCAATGTGTTCATTCAGGAAAGGAAGGGGCTGGTAAATTTAACATATTTACCAGACCCTTCCCCTACTCTCCATCCGGAAGGATCCTATTGTATGCAGCCAATGGGAATGAGAGGAGGGAAGCCACCAACATTACAGGGGTGGGGGCAGCAGGGGGAAATGTATGGCGTACAGGGAGGGTGATGGGCGCACCAGGGTGGAGCAATTGCTGGAACCCATCCCCTGTACGGCTCTTCTCTGCAGCAGCTGAAAGCCGGCTTCTTCCCTCTCCCTCCCACTGGCTTTCAGCTGCTGCAGGGAGAGGCATACAGGGGATCGGTTCCAGTAATTCCCCCACGCTGTGCTGATCACTTTCCCTGCCCACATCCCATTCACCCAGCTGCCTGGGCCCCTCTGCTGGCCTGGGCCCCATACAGGACGACTGGTGGTACCCCCCCATATTCACGGCCCTGGGCCTGGTGTCCCCTCTAGAGCAACTATCTGGAGAAAAGATTTAACAATAGTAACGGCCGAACTAGAACTAGAGAAACACGACGCTTCTTCCTCCATGCGGCGAGGTCGGTCGCGCGATGATGTCAGTGAAAGCAACCTGAGAAGGTTTTGGGTTTTTTTTTTCTCAACTAATTAAGTCCTTCTTCCCCTTCTCCCCTTGACCATTATTTTCCTGATGATTTTTTGGGTTTCTTTCTTTTTTTATTATTCATATTTATTTGTTTTATCCATTAAAAAAAAAAAAAAAAAAACTCGGTGCCAAGACTCAGCTGCTGAGAGGCCTCATATTTTACTCTCCCTCCCGTTGGCTTTCAGCTGCTGCAGAGAGAGCCATAGAGGGGATCAGTTCCAGTAAATGCCTCCTGTCGCACCCATCACCCTCCCTGTGTATCATATGTTTATCCCTGTTGCCCAGGCTCCCCTGTCCCCCCCCCCCCCCCCGCAGTGCTGCCAGCTTCCCTCTCTCCTTCCCACCAGCAACTGCAAGCACACAATAGGATCCTTCAGGATGGAGAGAGTGGGGGGAGGGAGTCGGGTAAATATGTCACATTTACCACCCCCTTCCTTTCCTTAATGAACACAATGAGTGATCGGTACCGGTCACTCACTGTGCTCATTCATAACATAAGCATAAAACTGTGTTTTTTGAAGGGGAAGGGGGTCCTGTCAGGTTGGTTGTATGGGGCCCCGTGGTTTTCTATCAGCAGCCCTGAGTACATAGCATCTGCTCCGTAGGGGGCGTACTGGGGTGAGAGCTGACCAATCAAGCCACCGCCAAGCCGATATCATGGTTTCCCATAAATCAGCTTTTGTTACTTTGTCTGTAGATAGAACACACTCACCTCCAGAGTCTTCAGGTAGCCGGCCAACTTCTTCACGATGGGCTCCAAGGCGCACGTCTTAGCCCGCGCATCGCACACGAAGCCCAGATTGAAGAGCAGCGCGTTGCGGCTATACTTCTTGTGCTCGATACAAACCGGGCAGCCAATCAGTTTCTTGTCCATGGCGGTCCTGGAAAACAGAAATACGGATAAATGAAAATACATGTGTGAGCTGCCTCTGACGGAAGCTGCCATTCCCCGACTGCCGGAAGATTTTTTTTCTCTTCAACATGCAGTTGTAGGTCCGCCAGTAGCTGGAGAAGTGGCGCCCCAGTGAGACCAGCCACGCCCAGTGAGACCAGCCACGCCCAGTGAGACCAGCCAAGCCCAGTGAGACCAGCCACGCCTGCTGTATACTCACACTGTGATGAGTTTGTTCTGCAGTTCCGGTTTGGTGATGATGTACACCTGAACCGTGTCAAAGAGCTCCCGGGATATGTATTCCTCCGGTACCTGCCGAGAGCAAAGCAATGCATTCATTTGTTACTGTATATAGTACATTGTGTCTCTGCCCCTCCCACAATGCTAAGATTTCCCCCCCCCCCCCAGTCTGTGTCTCTGCCCCTCCCACAATGGGGAGATTCACCCCAGTAGCTTGTGTCTATGCCCCTCCCATAATGGGGAGATTCACCCAGTACTTTGTTTCTCTGCCCCTCCCACAATGGGGAGATTTTACCCCGTAGTCTTGTCTCTGCCCCTCCCATAATGAAGAGATTTCCTGCAGTAGTTTGTGTCTCTGCCCCTCCCACAATGGGGAGATTTCCTGCAGTAGTTTGTTTGTGTCTCTGCCCCCCCTCCCACAATGGGGAGATTTCCTGCAGTAGTTTGTGTCTCTGCCCCTCCCACAATGGGGAGATTTCCTGCAGTAGTTTGTGTCCCTGCCACCCCCACAATGGGGAGATTTTCTGCAGTAGTTTGTGTCCCTGCCACTCCCATAATGGGGAGATTTCCTGCAGAAGTTTGTGTCTGTGTCCCACCCACAATGGCGAGATCCCTTCCCCCAGTAGCTTGTGTCTATGCCCCTCCCATAATGGGGAGATTCACCCAGTACTTTGTTTCTCTGCCCCTCCCACAATGGGGAGATTTTACCCCGTAGTCTTGTCTCTGCCCCTCCCATAATGGGAGATTTCCTGCAGAAGTTTGTGTCTCTGTCCCACCCACAATAGCGATATCCCCTCCCCCAGTAGTTTTTTGTCTCTGCCCCTCCCACAATGGGTTGATTCTGGATCCCCTATAGACACATCATAGCACTCCAGCCATCACACAGTAGCAATTGGTTCTGGAAGGATCTCACTGATCGTTTTCCCATCCTTACCTGGTAGCTGATCTTCGGGCCCAGAGTCGGGTGGAACTCTCCTGAAGAAAATACATTCGATCTTGCGGCTGGATTTCACTGCAGAAGAGAAGACACAATGTATCATCATTTTCATCCTTTGTTACATCTCATCCTGCTGATCTCCTGAAGCCACTTCCTATCTACACCTTCTCACATTTCTCAGAGCGGATTTCCTGATGGTGACAACAGTGGACCGGGTCTGTGTATTGTGTGGTCAGACCGCCCCCTGTATTCTTCATCAGAGGCCGGAGTGACAACTAGGGTTGCCATCCTTGTCTCCCGATTGCTCTCCTGTGTTGTCACCAGGGTGGCCACCTCATCCCTTTAAAACTGAACACATATTAAAGCGGAGTTCCACTCACCTGTCAAAAAATAAAAAATGTCAACAGCTACAAAAACTGTACAAACACTGTAGCTGCTGACTTTTAAAAAAAAAGCCACTTACCTGTCCCTGGTCCCGCGGTGTGTGTCCCCCGCAGCCCGTTTCACCGGCAGTCCTGTATTCCAGGCACCTGCATCTTCAGGTGTGGGCACCCGGCTGTGAAGAAAATGCGGTTTCGATCTTGCGGTGGGGTACATCACTGCAGTGCGAGTAGCGCTGCGCTTCATGAATGTCCTGTATCATTTTCACCTGTCATGTTCCCAAAAGACTACAGGGAGGGAGACCACCTTCCGCTTCCGATTGCTAGGCCATTTCGGCAAGCCGCGGCTTTCCTGCCATGCGGCTCTTTACAACAGTTTAATGCGGCTCTTCTGTGTGCCGGGCGCCCGCTCCCCTCCCTCTCATCGGAGGCCGCCCCAAAAGTCAGACTCTGCAGCTAGCCCAGCAATGGGCAAACTACGGTCCCGGCGGACTCTTTTAATCCGGTCACCGCGGCGTGGCAAACATTGGCCCTGTCAGGAAGGCGGGGCAGCGTGACGAAAGCGGAGTCCTCTCACAGTCCGCCTGAAAACCGGAACGGCGCGGGAACGCGGCGAAGGAACGTGTACAAAGGTAAGTGACTTTTTACACAATATGGGGGATAATTACTATATGGGGGATGAATTACTATCATGGGGGATGAATTACTATGGGGGATGCAGCCCGTTACTATAGGGGTCCTGAATTACTATGGGGGGGATGAATTACTATAGGGGGGCTGTGAATTACTATATGGGGGATGAATTACTATATGGGGTACAATTACTATATGGGGGATGAATTACGATATGGGGCTGAATTACTATGGGGGATGAATTCTATGGGGGATGAATTACTATATGGGGGATGAATTACTATGTGGGGGATGAAGACTATGGGGGATGGAGGACTATATGGGGGATGTATTTTCAGTTTTAAAATGTGGCTCTCAAAATAAATTTCAATCGTGGCCACATTGGCGGCTCTTTGGCTCAGTTGAAAAAAAAAGGTTGCCCACCATGGCCTAGGCGATCGGACCGGAAGTGGCACTCCCGGGTACCTGCCTCGGGCGGCCGCCCCAAAAGTCAGGACTCTGCAGCTAGCCCAGCAATGGGCAAACTACGGCCCGGCGGGCCTTTTAATCCGGCCCGCGGAGCGTGGCAAACATTGGCTTTCAGGATGTAGGCGGGGCAGCGTGACGAACTCCTCTCCTCTCACAGTCCGCCCTGAAGACCAGAGGCGCGGGAAGCGGCGGGGGAACGCGGCGGAGAGCAAAGGTAAGTGAATTGAACTCCTATGGGGGATGAATTACAGTCCGGGGGATGAATTACTATATGGGGGATGAATTACTATATGGGGGATGCTATATGGGGAGAGGAATTACTATAGGGGGGCAAATTACTATAGGGAATTGAATTACTATAGGGGGAATGGGGGGATGAGAATTACTATATGGGGGATGAATTACTATATATAGGGGGGATGAATTACTATATGGGGGGATGAATTACTATATGGGGGATGAATTACTATATGGGGGATGAATTACTATATTACTATATGGGGGATGAATTACTATATGGGGGATGAATTACTATATGGGGGATGAATTACTATATGGGGGATGAATTACTATATGGGGGATGAATTACTATATGGGGGATGAATTACTATATGGGGGATGAATTACTATATGGGGGATGTATTTTCAGTTTTAATGTGGCTCTCAAAATAAATTTCAATCGTGGAGATTTGGCTCAGTTGAAAAAAAAGGTTACCACTGGCTAGGGATCGGGGACCGAATTACAATGGGGGCCTCGGGCGGCCGCCCCAAAAGTCAGGACTCTGGGCTAGATGCAATGGGCAAACTACTGCCCGGCGAGCCGTATACGGCCGGCGGACCTTTTAATCCGGCCCGCGGAGCGTGAATTACATTGGCTGTCAGGATGTAGGGGGGCAGCGTGACGAACTCCTCTCCTCTCACAGTCTGCCCTGAAGACCGGAATTAACTATAGGAACGTGCGGAGCAAAGGTAAGTGAATTGACACAATATGGGGAATGAATTACTATGGGGGATGAATTACTATATGGGGGATGAATTACTATATGGAGGATGAATTACTATATGGGGGATGAATTACTATAGGGGGGATGAATTACTATAGGGGGGATGAATTACTATATGGGGGATGAATTACTATATGGGGGATGAATTACTATATGGGGGATGAATTACTATATGGGGGATGAATTACTATATGGGGGATGAATTACTATGGGGGATGAATTACTATATGGGGGATGTATTTTCAGTTTTAAAAATGTGGCTCTCAAAATAAATTTCAATCGTGGTTTTGGCGAGATTTGGCTCAGTTGAAAAAAAAGGTTGCCCACCACTGGCCTAGGCGATCGGACGGAAGTGGACAACGGGTACCTGCCAAATTTGGGTACCCACTCCCCCCGCCACCCAAAGGTGCCAATTCTTAATGGGGAGCAGTCCTTAAAGCGGAACTTCCCCTTTCGGGTGGAGCTCCGCTTTAATGACACAGGTTCTGAGGCTGATCTATTGCAGAGAAGGCACTAAGTGAGTTTAATGACCACCTTAATCAGCCAACAGAACCCATGTCATCATTACGTGTTCGGTTTTAAAGGGATGAGGTGGCAACCCTAGTGACAACACAGGAGAGCAATTGGGAGACAAGGCCAGAGCGTTGTCATCCTGTAACAGGAAGTACCTGGACAAGGACACCCCCGTGCCAGACACAGATCAGCCCCAGCAGAACACAACACACTCACTCATAGGGATCGGCAGGTTCTTCTTTCCACGATCAGCTCTGGAGATCCTTCTTATTTATAGGTACAATCTAAACAGATACAATGTATAGAGATATAATAAATAAAGATACAATCTATAAACAATAAATAAATAAATATACAATGAATAAAGATACAATAAATATACAATGAATAAAGATACAATAAATATACAATGTATAAAGATACAATAAAATGTATAAAGATACAATAAATATAAAGATAAAGATACAATGTTTCTCTTCCAGTATCACGTTTTCTCTTCCTGCGCTCCAAGCCTCCCTCTCACTCATCCCCGCTTCTTCAGCTCTGATTGGTTACGCGTCACGCTCTGGTCCGCCCCCTCAATTTGGATTGGTCGCCTCTCTTCTCTTTGAATGCCGAGCGATGTCCGGAAAAGGCGGGAGGGTGGAGAATGGCGGAGCTCTCGTCCAATCGCAGAGCGGTGGGCGTGACGGATCGTTTCCTGATTGGAGACCGGAAGTGAGAGTCCAGGTGCCGGATGACAGCTCGGGGGTGAGTTGTTACATTGTATCCCCAGGGAGGGGAGGGGAGGATACAATGTTTCTGTTGGAGTTCTGCGTACTGGGGTCTCCTCAGTACTCCTCACACTGGAAGGGGCTGGGAGGGGGATTAAAGGGGAGCTCCACCTGGAAGTCTGGATAATAATGTTGGGGGAGTCCCACCCCCTCTAGATACAGCCCCCCTCCCAGGAGAGGGGGCTCTGGCTCCTCCCAGCTAACCACAGGCTTCATTTGATTGGCTCAGCCGTGGGTAAGATTTCTAGGATTGGCTGTCATGCAGCAGGGAAGGTGACAACCAGCACAACTTTGATGGGACTTCCTGGGGGAGGGGTCACTCTCTGGAGGTGTGCCATTGGTAGCTGTGATTTGTACCTCGTGTAATATCAGAGTATTGGAGTTGTGGGCGGAGCGGGGAAGGGTGAGAGCCCCTGTCAGTGTCTTGCTGGGATTATGGGGCAATGATGGTTGGAGGGGGTGTGATGGTTAGGGGGTGGGGGAGATGATGCGTGAGGGGGGATGGAGAGTTGAAGGTTGGAGGGCAGGAATGGGTTGGTTTGGGGGGGGGGGGTGATGTAGAGTTGGTGGTTGGGGGGGAAGGTATGATCGCTGGGGAGGGAGTGGGAAAAGGAGAGTTGGGGGGGAGGTATGATGGCTGGGGAGGGAGGGGGAAAAGGAGACTTGGGGGGGGGGGGGGGGGGGGGGAGGGGGGGGGGGGGATAGGAGAGGTTATGGTTGGTGGGGAGGAGGTATGATGACTGGGGAGGGAGGGGGAACAGGAGAGTTGATGGTTTGGGGGGGGGGGGGGGGGGTATGATAGCTGGAGAAGGAGGGGGAAAAGGAGAGTTGATGGTTGGGGGAAGGTATGATAGCTGGGGAAGGAGGGGGAAAAGGAGACTTGGGGGGGGGGGGGGGAGTATGATGGCTGGGGAGGGAGGGGGAATAGGAGAGGATAGGAGAGGTTATGGTTGGTGGGGGGGAGGAGGTATGATGACTGGGGAGGGAGGGGGAACAGGAGAGTTGATGGTTTGGGGGGGGGGGGGGGGGGTGTATGATAGCTGGGGAAGGAGGGGTAAAGGGAGAGGTAATGGTTGGTTGGGGGAGGAAGGGGAAGAGTAGAGTTGATGGGGGGGGGGGGGGTAAGATGGCTGGGGAGGGGGGGGGGGAATGGGATGCTGGGGGATGGGAATGCCAGCCGTATCTTCCACCTCATGTTGTCTCTCCTCGCAGGTCATGGCTCAGAGTGCGGACAGTGACACGCGGGTTCACCGCACACTGAGAGCGATATCCGGGGCCTCCGCCCACCTCGCTGCCTTCGCTTTCACCCCATCTTCATGATCTATGTCTCCAAACCTGGATCAAGTGAGTATTGGGGGGGGGGGGGGGGGGGGGGGTAAGTAGAAAGGGGGTCAGAGAGATATATGGGGAGGAGGGGACAGAGTGGTGTTGAGTAGGGAAGAAGACTGGGGAGGAAAGGGGCTGAGATTAGAAATAAGCAGGGGGAAGGCTGGAGGGGATGAATGGGGGGGGGGGGGGTGGAGGGGTAAAGGAAGAGAAACGCTAAAGGGGATAAGCAGGTTAGAAGGGGGAACTAGGGGTGTATATAATAGGAAAGGACTCTGTGGTGGAGGAATGAGCGGGGAGGAAGTCTGGGGGAAGGGGGGATAGATGAGCCGGGGGGGGGAGGACGTCTGGGGGGGGGGGGATAGATGAGCCGGGAGGACGTCTGGGGGGGGGGATAGATGAGCCGGGAGGACGTCTGGGGGGTGGATAGATGAGCCGGGAGGGACGTCTGGGGGGGGGGGGGGGGGGAATAGAAGAGCCGGGAGGACGTCTGGGGGGGGGGGGAATGATAGATGAGCCGGGAGGACGTCTGGGGGGGGGGGATAGATGAGCCGGGGAGGACGTCTGGGGGGGGGGGGATAGATGAGCCGGGAGGACGTCTGGGGGGGGGGATAGATGAGCCGGGAGGAGGACGTCTGGGGGGGGGGATAGATGAGCCGGGAGGACGTCTGGGGGGGGATAGAAGAGCCGGGGAGGACGTCTGGGGGGGGGGATATAGAAGAGCCGGGAGGACGTCTGGGGGGGGGGATAGAAGAGCCGGGAGGACGTCTGGGGGGGGGGATAGAAGAGCCGGGCGGGAGGACGTCTGGGGGGGGAATAGAAGAGAGCCGGGAGAGGACGTCTTGGGGGGGGATAGATGAGCCGGGAGGACGTCTGGGGGGGGATAGATGAGCCGGGAGGACGTCTGGGGGGGGATAGAAGAGAGCCGGAGGACGTGTCTGGGGGGGGATAGAAGAGCCGGTGGAGGACGTCGGGGGGATAGAAGAGCCGGGAGGACGGGGGGGACGGGGGGGGGAGGGATAGAAGAGCCGGGGGGGACGTTGTCTGGGGGGGGGATAGAAGAGCCGGGAGGACGTCTGGGGGGGGGGGGATAGAAGAGCCGGGGGGGGGAGGACGTCTGGGGGGGGGGGGGGGGATAGAAGAGCCGGTGAGGACGTCTGGGGGGGGGGATAGAAGAGCCGGGAGGAGGACGTCTGGGGGGGGGGGGATAGAAGAGCCGGGAGGACGTCTGGGGGGGGGGGGGATAGAAGAGCCGGGAGGACGTTCTGGGGGGGGGGGGATAGAAGAGCCGGCGGGGACGTTCTGGGGGGGGGGGGGGGGGGGGGGGGGGGGGCGATAGAAGAGCCGGGAGGACGTCTGGGGGGGGGGGGGGGGGGATAGAAGAGCCGGGAGGACGTCGGGGGGGGGGGGGGGGGGATAGAAGAGCCGGGGGGTGCCGGGGCTTGGACGTCTGGGGGGGGGGATAGAAGAGCCGGGAGGACGTCTGGGGGGGGGATAGAAGAGCCGGGAGGACGTCTGGGGGGGGGATAGAAGAGCCGGGAGGACGTCTGGGGGGGTGATAGATGAGCGGGGAGGACGTCTGGAGGACGTCTGGGGGGTGATAGATGAGCGGGGGAGGGACATCTGGGGGGAAAATGATTGGCGAGGAAGTTGGGGGGGGATGAGCGGCGGGAGGACGTCTGGGATGGGGGGGGGGGATGAGCGGGAAGAAAGTCCGGGGTGGAGGGGAGGATGAGCAGGGGAGATGAGCGGAAGTCTGGGGTGAAGGAGAGGATGAGCGGGGGAGGAAGTCCTGGGTGGAGGGGGGGATGAGCGGGGAGGAAGTCCTGGGTGGAGGGGGGGATGAGCGGGGGAGGAAGTCCTGGGTGGAGGGGGGGGATGAGCGGGGAGGAAGTCCTGGGTGGAGGGGGGGATGAGGGGGAAGAAGTCCTGGGTGGAGGGGAGGAAGTCCGGGGTTGAGGAAGTGAGGATGAGCGGGGAGGAAGTCTAGGGTGGAGGAGGGATGAGCGGGGAGGAAGTCCTGGGTGGAGGGGAGGGGGGGGGGGATGAGCTGGGAGGAAGCCCGGGGTGAGAGGGTAAGAAGTCCTGGGTGGACGGGGGATGAGTGGGGATGAAGTCTGGGGGTGGAGGGGGGGATGAGCGGGGAGGAAGTCTGGGGTTGGAGGGAGGATGAGCTGGGAGGAAGTCCGGGGTGGAGGGGGGGGGGGATGAGCGGGGAGGGAAGTCCGGGGTGGAGGGGGGGGGGATGAGCTGGGAGGAAGCCGGGGTGGAGGGGAGGAACGTGAGGGTGGGGGGGATGAGTGGGGATGAAGTCTGGGGTGGGGGGATGAGCGGGGAGGAAGTCTGGGTTTGGAGGGGGGGATGAGCTGGGAGGAAGTCCGGGGTGGAGGGGGGGGATGAGGCGGGGAGGAAGTCCGGGGTGGAGGGGGGGGGGGATGAGCGGGGAGGAAGTCCGGGGTGGAGGGGGGGATGAGCGGGGAGGAAGTCCGGGGTGGAGGGGGGGATGAGCGGGGAGGAAGTCCGGGGTGGAGGGGGGGGATGAGCGGGGAGGAAGTCCGGGGTGGAGGGGGGGGGGATGAGCGGGGAGAAAGTCCGGGGTGGAGGGGGGGGATGAGCGGGGAGAAAGTCCGGGGTGGAGGGGGGGATGAGCGGGGAGGAAGTCCGGGGTGGAGGGGGGGGATGAGCGGGGAGGAAGTCCGGGGTGGAGGGGGGGGATGAGCGGGGAAGGAAAGTCCGGGGTGGAGGGGGGGATGAGCGGGGAGGAAGTCCGGGGTGGAGGGGGGGGATGAGCGGGGAGGAAGTCCGGGGTGGAGGGGGGGGATGAGCGGGGAGGAAGTCCGGGGTGGAGGGGGGGATGAGCGGGGAGGAGGGGGGGATGAGCGGGGAGAAAGTCTGGGCAGCTTTAAGGAAGAACTCTGCCAAGGGCTGTATATTGGCCCCAGAATCCCGATCATTTCCTCACCATCTGTATGACGGACATATTGGGAGGATTGCTGCCGGCTGACATTCCGATTTTCTGTCTTCAAAGTTTATGTCTTGGAAGAGAAATTCTGATCAGGAGTTCTGACTTCACTTGCTACATGCTTGTTTCAGATCAGTGAATGGGAGAATACTAGAGGCCAGAGACCAGACAGTTCAGGAAGGAATCGGGATCAGTACAGAATAAGAAATTATTTGTTTTACAGTTTTTCTTTAATACGATTTCTCATAATAACTTTCATTTTCTATCTTTGTTTGATTTCAGCTCTTTTCTCCTGGCACCCCCTCCTCATGGCCCTCGCGGTGAGTGACCCCCTTGTTCTCAGCTACGAGATAGGACAGGGAGAGGCAAAAGGGTTTTCCTGGTGGTGACAACAGAAGACCAGGCCTGTGTAATGTGTCTTGCAATGACCACTTGTAGTCTCCACCGGAAGCCACGCAGGAGTGCAAATGTGTGACAGAGTGTTGTCACCCTGTAGAAGGAAGTACCTGAACAAGGACAGTTGTCAGATACAGCTGCCCCCCCCCCCCCTCCCCCTCCCCTTGCTGCATCCTCTCACCTGACTTGCTACAAAGTTACAATGTACAGTCTGATCCCTGGGGGAGGGGAGACTGAGGAAACACTCCATCCTCCTTGTACAAAGTTACAATGTACAGTCTGATCACTGGGGGAGGAGACTGAGGAAATGCCCCTCCTCCTTCTACAAAGTTACAATGTACAGTCTGATCACTGGGGGAGGGGGAGACTGAGAAAATGCTCCTCCTCCTTCTACAAAGTTACAATGTACAGTCTGATCACTGGGGGAGGAGACTGAGGAAATGCCCCTCCTCCTTCTACAAAGTTACAATGTACAGTCTGATCACTGGGGGAGGGGAGACTGAGGAATGACTCCTCCTCCTTCTGTAAAGTTACAATGTACAGTCTGATCACTGGGGGAGGGGAGACTGAGGAAATGCTTCCTCCTCCTTCTACAAAGTTACAATGTACAGTCTGATCACTGGGGGTGAGGGGGGGACTGAGGAAATGCTTCCTCCTCCTTCTACAAAGTTACAATGTACAGTCTGATCTCTGGGGGAGGAGACTGAGGAAATGCCCCTCCTCCTTCTACAAAGTTACAATGTACAGTCTGATCTCTGAGATCGTTGACTTTAAGGCGGAAGGTTTGGGGATTAGATTTATGGATTGCATTTCCTCTGAATTGTCCGTTTGTTGTCCTGGTAATACGGATCCACAAGCATGCTTTGTACTGAACACAGAGGGAGGGTGATGATGATTCGGGATTTGTATAGCGCCAGCCGTTTCCAGTTACAACAGAAGAGGGTTGGGAGGAGCTTACAATCTAAAAGGGAGGAGCAAGTGATACAGAAGGAAATGACTGCGGGGGATGAGTTGATGGAGGAAGTAAATATTCAGTTATTACATGGAGGTGGAAAGGATTCCCTGAAGAGATGAGTTTTCAGAGATTCTTCTGGACAGAGTAGGAGATAGCTGGACATACTGGGGTAGGGAGTTCCAGAGGATGGGAGAGGCTCTGCAGAAGTCCTGGAGGTGAGCAGGGGAGGAGGGTGGCGAGGGAGCTAGATAGCAGGAGGTTCTGGGAGGAGGAGAGGATGGTTTGGGTGATATTATGAGGTTGTTGATGTAGCTCAGACCAGAGTTGTGTGGGGTTTTGTATTTTATTGTAGTGGAGCGAGTGGACACTCAATGGAGGCCAATGGAAGGATTGGCAGAGAGGGATGGAGGACACTGAATGGAGGCCAGTGGAGGTATTAACAGAGAGGTGTAGTGGACAATAGTGAAGGGATTGGGAGAGAGGGGTGGAGGCCAGTGGAGGGATTGGCAAAGAGTGGTAGAGGTACACTGAAATGAGGCCAGTGGAGGGATTGGAAGAGACAGGTGAAGGAATCAGTAGAGAGGTGTCGTGGACACTAGTGGAGGGATTGGCAGAGAGGGGAGGAGGACACTGAGTGGAGGCCAGTGGAGGGATTGGCAAAGAGGGATGGAGGACACTGAGTGGAGGCCAGTGGAGGGATTGGCAAAGAGGGATGGGAGGACACTGAGCGGAGGCCAGTGGAGGGATTGGCAGAGAGAGGTGGAGGACACTGAGCGGAGGCCAGTGGAGGGATTGGCAGAGAGAGGTGGAGGGACACTGAGCGGAGGCCAGTGGAGGGATTGGCAGAGAGGTGTTGTGGACACTAGTGGAGGGATTGACAGACAGAGGTGGAGGATACTGAAAGGAGGCCAGTGGAGGGATTGGCAGAGAGGGGTGGTGGACGCTGAAAGAAGGCCAGTGGAAAGAAGGATTGGCGGAAGGGATTGGAAGACAGTAAATGGAGGCCAGTGGAAGGATTGACAGAGAGGGATGGAGGACACTGAGCAGAGGCCAGTAGAGGTATTGGCAGAGAGGTGTTGTGGACACTAGTGGAGGGATTGACAGAGAGAGGTGGAGGCCAGTGGAACGATTGACAGAGAAGCGTGGTGGACACTGAGCGGAGGCCAATGGAGGGATTGACAGAGAGGGGTGGTGGACACTAGTGGAGGGACAGATGGAGGCCAGTGGACAGAGAGGAGGACACTGAGCGAAGGCCAGTAGAAGAAGGGATGGAGGACACTGAGTGGAGGCCAGTGGAGGATTGGCAGAGAGGGGTGGAGGACACTGAGTGGAGGCCCAGTGGATGGATAGAGATGGAGGCGCAATGGAGGAGTCTGGAGTTGCAGTGATAGTTATGTAGGGGCCAATAGGAGGGAGTTGCAATAGTTGAGGGATAACAAGGGAATTAGTAGCTTGGTGGTGGTTGGTTATAGAGAGGTGAAGGTGGAAAGGTTTGGTCAGGGATTGGATGTGGGGCCAGAAGAAGTCAAAGTCCAGGATTACACCCAGCACCCTCATATGGGGGGAGGGGCTGATCATTGTGTTGGGGATAGCACCTCCCTCATATCTTGCCTCTCAATGTGATTCTTCTCTCCGCAGTTCTTCTTCATGACGGAAGCCATCATGGTTTTCTCCCCTGACTCCCTACTGCGCTCCCTCTCTCGGAAGGCCCGCACACGAGCTCACTGGGTGCTGCACCTCCTGGCGGTGCTCTGTGCCCTGATTGGTCTGGGTATAATCTACGGCAACAAAGTTTTGCATGAAAAGCCTCACTTTTCCACCTGGCACGGGTTGGTGGGCTTGCTGACCATCCTATGGACTGTGGTCCAGAATCTGGGCGGAGTCACCCTTCTCTACCCTAAACTGGTGCAGCGCTGGACATTGGCCACTCGGAAGCTCTACCACGCCACGTCCGGTCTGCTGGGCTACCTGCTGGCGTGTGGCAGCCTTATGCTGGGAATGTGCTCCCTGTGGTTCACCGCCAACGTGGCTGGCATGGCCTGGTACTTGTGCGTCGTCTGTCCGCTTCTCTCCGGTCTGGTCGTCATGAACCAAGTGAGTAATGCTTACGTCTACCACAAGAGGAGCCAGTCCTGAGGAGATGAGGAGCCAGTCCTGAGGAGATGAGGAGCCCACACCACGTCAGATACTTCTGCAGGAGGAAGGAGAAGTCGCTGCCGGCTCTGACTCTTTGAGCGCAAATTTGTTTTTCCACCATCATCACCCGTATGAGGGGGTTGGTATTGGCGATGAAAGAACTATGGATCGAGGTGTCGGAGGTCTGCTGGGGATTGGCAACCTTCATCTGGTTGCTGCGACACTTAACCCCAACATGGTGCATCTTCCGAAACCTCAAAAATGGCCTCTGCTCCCAAGTCCTGGCGTCTGTAGGCACAATCGCCAGCTGAATTGAGCAACCTGTGGCTCTCTAGCTGTTGTGGAACCACATTTCCCATGAGGCATTGCAAAGATTACAAAACTGACAGTTACAGCTATGACTTGCAGAGGCATGATGGAACTTGTAGTCCTGCGGCTCTCGGGTTGCCTACCTCTGACCTTTACCCTTCTCACTCATGTTTCAACCAAACAAAGCTCTTCAGGTGAAACGCGCAAGCTAAGGAGGGTCCAGAGACCTTCTGTATTCATTTTCCAGAACAATAAAGTTTTGTTCATTAGGTGATGTCATCCGAGTGCATGGATAAAACTTTATTTTTCAGGACATAGAATACAAAACATCTACCCAGACCCTTCTCACTTTTTTTCACCCAAACAGGGCTCTTCAGGTGAAATTCGGCAGAATCAGGAGGGTGTAGGCCAGGGGTAGGTAAACTTTGGGCCTCCAGCTATAGCAGGACTACATGTCCCATGAGGCATTGCAGGACTTTGATAGCCACAAGCATGACTCCAAGAAGCATAGGCATGATGGGTAGTTTTTCAACAGCTGGAGGGCCAGTTTGCCTACCCCTGGTCTAGGTGGACCTTCTGTATTCCTTTTCCAGAACAATAAAGTTTTGTTCATACTGACATCATCTGAGGGCATGTATAAAACTTTATTGCCCTGAACATTAACCACCGAAGGTCTGGTCTACCAAGACCCTTCTCATTGGCTTCACCCAAACGGGGCTCTTCAGCTGAAACACGTCGGAGCCCCTGGGCAGAGCTTCTGTATTTAATGGCAGGAACAATAAAGTTTTATCCAAGAGAGTGTGGCTCTTCTCTTTGCCCTTGATGGTGCATCCTCCGTCTGGTGGGTGGCATGGACCACGTGATCCTTTTTTTTTTTTTTTTTTTTTTATTTATAATTTTCACAATGGACGGACTCAGCATTTTTATTGGACGGGAACAAAATTCTGTTTCCAAAAGTGTTTTCTGGAGAAGTGAAAGCGCAAGACGTGCCTCTGAGACGAGCGAAACGTTCTGCAAACTCTCCTCCCTCCCCTCTGCTAAAGACAGAAATGACCATGTCGATTCAGAGGGACTCTCACATTGTACAGGACTGCAGCCTCTCGTCTCATGATGCTCCTCCCTCCCCTCTGCTAAAGACAGAAATGACCATGTCGATTCAGAGGGACTCTCACATTGTACAGGACTGCAGCCTCTCGTCTCATGATGCTCCTCCCTCCCCTCTGCTAAAGACAGAAATGACCATGTCGATTCAGAGGGACTCTCACATTGTACAGGACTGCAGCCTCTCGTCTCATGATGCTCCTCCCTCCCCTCTGCTAAAGACAGAAATGACCATGTCGATTCAGAGGGACTCTCACATTGTACAGGACTGCAGCCTCTCGTCTCGTGATGCTGTTCACTCCCCTTCCCTCTCATGAAGTTGTGGTTGTGGGTGGGGCTGCAGTGAGCTCAGAGGAAAAGGGGGTGGGGCTGGGACCAGGGACACAGTGGCTGCCTTGTCACTGGCTCACAGGTACCGGCAGTCGCGGAGGGTTGGTTGGTAGGACGACCCGATGCAATAGATGAGGGTGGTCGCCACTGTGCGAGCGGGCTGTGGGGGGTTTAAATGAAAAATGTTGACGTTTCAAAGGTGGCTGTACCTTTTTGAAGGTATCCCCCCACCTCCCCGAGTGCTGACCACCCGGTCCATTACTGACCTTGGTCCCCACCACCCACACCACAGGCTGTACTCCGCATAGAAATGAAGAGGGACGTGGCCACACTTCAGGCAGAAAGGCTGTGTGGCCCCCTGCTGGACACACAGTGAAAAGGGGCCCAGTGGGGGGGGGGGAGGGGGCATGCCAAAACCACCAGGACACAAATGTTACAGGTTTTGTCTGTCTGAGCTCAGCAAGGTTCCATGTTTGCTTCTCACCTATAACCTGAAATGCTTCAATGCTACGCTGTACAATGGTGTCACTTCCATGTCGCAGGGAAAGGGAACTTTTTTTTACCTTTTTAAAATGAAATAAAAAGAAAATTAACCTTTAAAAAGTCTTGAAGGCGCCTTCACATCATAGTGGTCTTTTTTGGGGGGCAGAGATTACAAACTGCGAGTTGACGTGCTGCTCCCACTGATACCAACGATGGGGCACTATTCCTCCCACTGACACCAATGATGGGGCACTATTCCTCCCACTGACACCAATGATGGAGCACTATTCCTCCCACTGACACCAATGATGGGGCACTATTCCTCCCACTGACATTAATGATGGGGCACTATTCCTCCCACTGACACCAATGATGGGGCACTATTCCTCCCACTGACACCAATGATGGGGCACTATTCCTCCCACTGATACCAATGATGGGGCACTATTCCTCCCACTGACACCAATGATGGGCACTATTCCTCCCACTGACACCAATGATGGGGCACTATTCCTCCCACTGACACCAATGATGGGGCACTATTCCTCCACTGACACCAATGATGGGGCACTATTCCTCCCACTGACCCAATGATGGGGCACTACTGACACCAATGATGGGGCACTATTCCTCCACTGACACCAATGATGGGGCACTATTCCTCCCACTGACACCAATGATGGGCACTATTCCTCCCACTGACACCAATGATGGGCACTATTCCTCCCACTGACACCAATGATGGGGCACTATCCTCCCACTGACACCAATGATGGGGCACTTCCACTGACACCAATGACCAATGATGGGCACTATTCCTCCCACTGACACCAATGATGGGGCACTCATCCTTCCACTGACACCAATGATGGGACACTATTCCTCCGACTGACACCAATGATGGGGTGCTATTCCTCCCACTGACACCAATGATGGGGCACTATTCCTCCCACTGACACCAATGACGGGGTGCTATTCCTGACTCCCCTCTGCTGGGTCCAGTTGGAGCAATGAGTACTTGCCTCTACCCATCCCCCTCCTACACACCAAACAGACCTGACAATGAGCACCGGACAGATATCTGAAGTCAACCTTCTATATAAATGCAGACAGTACATGCTGTGTTGGCAGGGGGGGGGGGGAGGAGGCGTGTTCTGTCTTCTCACAATATTTCACGATCGGTGTGTCGGTGAAGGAGATCGCTTTAGATCTGAATTTTCTCTGTCAGCTGGGGGTATGCCTGGGGGGGGGGTTTGGGTGAGGAGAGAATGAGAGCGCCACAAAAGCTGTACGTTTTTATTTTGCACAAGAGACACTAGATTCAAAGCAACGTGTTTCGGGCCTCGCTCCCCCTTCATCAGGACTGGGAAACAAGCCAACTTACGGGGGTGTCAAACTGGCGGCCCTCCAGCTGTTGCCAAACTACAAGTCCCATCATGCCTCTGCCTTTGGAGCCATGCTTGTAACTGTCAGTCTTGCAATGCCTCATGGGACTTGTAGCTTGAGGGCCACCAGTTTGACACCCGTGAACGAACACCCATGCTCACTCATCTGTGGAAGAAAGATCTGTATGCTTACCTACTCTAGTCACATGACCTGGCTCCCCTGTGTCATCCAGCACCTGCTGCAGGGGAGAGGAGGGAGTGCTGACAACAGCTGCACATGGGAGCCTATAGGTGACATCACGGCTCCCAGATGTTTTTGGGAACTCTCCCCTGCAGCTGGTGCTGGCTGACGGAGAATATCAGGTGACCAGAGCGAGCTGAAAATAGGTAAGTACAGTCATGGCCAAAATTCCCCCCCCCCCCCCCCTGTATTTTTTCTGTCAGTGCACCACCTGCAATGACAAATGTTTCGGCATTCTCAAGTTTTTTTTATGTCTTTTGTTTGTATCGGTGACACAAAAAAAAGTGGAGAAACAAAAAACCAAATCTGACACATTCCACGCGAAACCCCCAAAAATGGAGCGGGCAAAATGATTGGCACCCTCAATGTAAGATTTGGTAAAACACTAAATATTAATGATTTCCATCATATTTATGTCTCAAGTTTTTCCATAGCCCTGATGAAGCTGAATGCTTGTGAAACGCGTAGACCAACATCTGGGATGAGGACAGGATGGCCTCAATGTTATGCTGCCGATGTTTTAAAATTCCATTCTTTGTAAATAAAAACATGAGAAACGTAACATTGAGGCCATCGTGTCCTCAGCCCAAATGTTGGTCTACGCGTTTTGCTGGAAGTCTGCTTCATCAGGACTCTAGGAAAACGTAGAGGAGATATATAGTATATGACAGAAAACGTCCATCTGCAGTGAAGACAAAGAATGATTTGCCCTGATTGTAGACGGATGTTTTCTACACTGAATATGTATTCGGTTTTCTCCAGTACATAGCGTTAGTCTACAGGTTTCGAGGGCATTGTGCTTCTTCAGGACTATAGAAAAACTCAGGACATGTACAGTATATATATACAAGGCTTCTTCTCTCAGAGACTAGGTGCAGGAACCCACCTTCCCCCTGTCCACAGCTCACCCCCTCCCAATCCAAAGCTCACTTTCCCCCATCCACAGCTCACCTTCCCTCCCCATCCACAGCTCACCCTCTCCCCCATCCACAAGTTATTCTCTCCCCCCATCTACAGCTCACCCTCTTCCCCCCCCCCCCATCCACAGCTCACCCCTCTCCCCCCCCCATGCACAGGTCATCCTCTCCCCCTATCTACAGCTCACCTTCCCTCCCCATCCACAGCTCATCCTCTCCCCCTATCTACAGCTCACCTTCCCTCCCCATCCACAGCTTGCCCTCTTCCCCCTCATCCACAGGGCACCATATCCCCCCCATCCATAGGTCACTCCTTCCCCCCCATTCACATCACCCTCTCGCCCCACATCCACAAGTCATTCTCTCCCCCCATCCACAGCTCACCTTCCCTCCCCATCCACAGCTCACCCCCTCCCCCCATCCGCAGGTCATTCTCTCCCCCCATCCACAGCTAACCTTCCCTCCCCATCCACAGCTCACCCCCTGCCCCCATCTACAGCTCACCTTCCCACCCCATCCACAGCTCACCTTCCCTCCCCATCTACAGCTCACTCACCCCTCCCCCCATCTACAGCTCACCTTCCCGCCCCCTTCACAGCTTGCCCTCTTCCCCTTCATCCACAGGGCACTATATCTCCCATCCATAGGTCACTCTCTTCCCCCCCATCAACAGCTCATCTTCCCTCCACAACCACAGCTTGCCCTCTCCCCCGTCCACAGGTCACCCTTCCCTCCCCCCATCCAAATCTCACCCTCTCCACATATCACATTCTCTCCCTCCCCCCATCCTACCCATGTACTCTCTGTCAATATGTCCCCTCTGTACCCACATCTGCAGATTACCTCTCCACCCTCCACATTGCACTTCTGCACCCCTATATACAGCTCCCCCCAATCCATAGCTCTCAAGCTCTGCAACCTCCAATATTTCACCTCTGCACCCCCAGCTCCCCCCACAACTCTCCTAACTCTGACCAATTCCCCCCACCCCAGATCTCACCTCTGCTGAACGCCCACAGCCGTTTCTCTGCACAGCCCCCCTCACCTCTTCACAGCCGTTTCTCTGCACAGCCCCCCTCACTTCTTCACAGCCCCCCTCACCTCTTCACAGCCGTTTCTCTGCACAGCCCCCCTCACTTCTTCACAGCCCCCCTCACCTCTTCACAGCCGTCTCTCTGCACAGCCCCCCTCACCTCTTCACAGCCGTCTCTCTGCACAGCCCCCCTCACCTCTTCACAGCCGTCTCTCTGCACAGCCCCCCTCACCTCTTCACAGCCTCTCTCTGCACAGCCCCCCTCACCTCTTCACAGCCGCCTCTCTGCACAGCCCCCCTCACCTCTTCACAGCCGCCTCTCTGCACAGCCCCCCTCACCTCTTCACAGCCGTCTCTGCACAGCCCCCCTCACCTCTTCACAGCCCCCCTCACCTCTTCACAGCCGTCTCTCTGCACAGCCCCCCTCACCTCTTCACAGCCGTCTCTCTGCACAGCCCCCCTCACCTCTTCACAGCCATCTCTGCACAGCCCCCCTCACCTCTTCACAGCCGTCTCTCTGCACAGCCCCCCTCACCTCTTCACAGCCGTCTCTGCACAGCCCCCCTCACCTCTTCACAGCCGTCTCTGCACAGCCCCCCTCACCTCTTCACAGCCTCTCTCTGCACAGCCCCCCTCTCTTCACAGCCCCAGCCCCCCTCACCTCTTCACAGCCGTCTCTGCACAGCCCCCCTCACCTCTTCACAGCCGCCTCTCTGCACAGCCCCCCTCACCTCTTCACAGCCGCCTCTCTGCACAGCCCCCCTCACCTCTTCACAGCCGCCTCTCTGCACAGCCCCCCTCACCTCTTCACAGCCGCCTCTCTGCACAGCCCCCCTCACCTCTCACCGCCGTCTCTCTCACAGCCCCCCTCATCTCTTCACAGTTGCATTTGAACAGTGCAGTTAGTTCCCTTCTATTAGGTGGGGGCTGGGCTGTTTTTTCTCTGTCTACTGTGCAGCATCACCTGTAATATCAGTGTAGCACAGACCTGAGGAGGGCTTTCAGAGTGCTCCATGCTACACTGATCTGCTAGGCAGCAGGCGGGACAAAAGCTGCCTATGGAAGCCATTAAAAAAAAATCTTGCCAGATGTGAGGAACGTGCCCTGGTGACGGAGCTAGGAGACGCCCTGGTGACGGAGCTAGGACGCCCTGGTGACGGAGCTAGGACGCAGGAGCTGACGAAGGAAGTGAGTATAGAAAACTTCCTCTACCCCCTTCGGTGTTACGCGAGAGCCTGGAGAGGAGAGGGATGGTGGAGCTCCTTTCTGTCACGTTCCAGCTGAAAGAAAAAGCCATATATATACAGTTCGGTCCATATATATATCTGGACACAGGCAGCACAATGTTAGTTTTTTTCAGGTATTCACCAAAACATCTTCCAGCTCTAGTTCTATGATGGATCTGGGCGGACAGTGCGCACTCTCGGGTGTAATTTGAGGGTATGTACATCCAGAATGGAGGAGGGGTTTAGGAATTACAGCTCTTAAGAGTAGCCACCCCCCCTTTTTTCAAGGGACCAAAAGTAATTGGACAACTGAATCAAAAGCTGTTTCGTGGCCAGGTGTGGGCTACTTCTTTGTTATTTCTTCATCAATTAAGCAGGCAGAAGGTCTGCAGTTGATTCTAAGTGCGGGATTTGCATTTGGAATCTATTGCTGTGACCCCACATCATGCATTCAAAGGAGCCGTCCATGGAAGTGAAACAAGCCATTGCAAGGCTTCAAAAACTAAACCAATCAGAGAGATCGCAGCTGCGTTAGGAGGGGCCAAATCAACAGTTTGATGGAATGGGCGGAGGCAGTGTGATGTACATCCCCTCAAATGACACCTGAGAGTGCGCACTGTCCGCCCAGATCCATCATAGAACTAGAGCTGGGATAGGTTTTGGTAAATATCTGAAAAAAACAAAGATTGTGCTGCCTGTGTCCAAATATATATGGGCCTAACTGTATATACTGGGGGGGGGGGGATATGGGGGGGTGTATATATACGGACCTAACTGTACATATGTGTGGTAGAAAACCTCCATCTACAATAAGGGCCACTGGCCTCCATCACTCTCTGCCAATCCCTCCACTGGCCTCCATTCAGTGTCCTCCACCACTCTCTGCCAATCCCTCCACCGGCCTCCATTCAGTGTCCTCCATCCTCTCTGCCAATCCCTCCACTGGCCTCCATTCAGTGTCCTCCACCACTCTCTGCCAATCCCTCCACCACCGGCCTCCATTCCTCTCTGCCAATCCCTCCACCGGCCTCCATTCAGTGTCCTCCACCACTCTCTGCCAATCCCTCCACTGGCCTCCATTCAGTGTCCTCCACCCCTCTCTGCCAATGCCTCCACCCCTCTCTGCCAATCCCTCCACTGGCCTCCACTTCAGTGTCCTCCACCCCTCTCTGCCAATCCCTCCACTGGCCTCCAATCAGTGTCCTCTACCGCTCTCTGCCGATTCCTCCACTGGCCTCCATTTAGTGTCCTCCACCCCTCTCTGCCAATCCCTCCACTGGCCTCCACCCCCTCTCTGCCAATCCCTCCACCGGCCTCCATTCAGTGTCCTCCACCCTCTCTGCCAATCCCTCCACTGGCCTCCATTCAGTGTCCTCCACTCCTCTCTGCCAATCCCTCCACTGGCCTCCATTCAGTGTCCCTCCACCACTCTCTGCCAATCCCTCCACCGCCTCCATTCCTCTCTGCCAATCCCTCCACCGGCCTCCATTCAGTGTCCTCCACCACTCTCTGCCAATCCCTCCACCGCCTCCATTCAGTGTCCTCCATTCCTCTCTGCCAATCCCTCCACTGGCCTCCATTCAGTGTCCTCCACCACTCTCTGCCAATCCCTCCACCGGCCTCCATTCCTCTCTGCCAATCCCTCCACCGGCCTCCATTCAGTGTCCTCCACCACTCTCTGCCAATCCCTCCACTGGCCTCCATTCAGTGTCCTCCACCCCTCTCTGCCAATGCCTCCACCCCTCCTGCCAATCCCTCCACTGGCCTCCACTCAGTGTCCTCCACCCCTCTCTGCCAATCCCTCCACTGGCCTCCAATCAGTGTCCTCTACCGCTCTCTGCCGATCCTCCACTGGCCTCCATTTAGTGTCCTCCACCCCTCTCTGCCAATCCCTCCACTGGCCTCCACCCCTCTCTGCCAATCCCTCCACACGGCCTCCATTCAGTGTCCTCCACCCCTCTGCCAATCCCTCCACTGCCTCCATTCAGTGTCCTCCACTCCTCTCTGCCAATCCCTCCACTGGCCTCCATTCAGTGTCCTCCACTCCTCTCTGCCAATCCCTCCACTGGCCTCCACCCCTCTCTGCCAATCCCTCCACTGGCCTCCATTCAGTGTCCACCCCTCTCTGCCAATCCCTCCACTGGTCTCCATTCAGTGTCCTCCACTCCTCTCTGCCAATCCCTCCACTGGCCTCCACTCAGTGTCCTCCACCCCTCTCTGCCAATCCCTCCACTGGTCTCCATTCAGTGTCCTCCACTCCTCTCTGCCAATCCCTCCACTGGCCTCCCATTGCCTAATATATAAAATTCAAAACATTAACAATAACATATAAAGCCATCTATAACTCCACCCCAAATTACATCACCGATCTTGTCTCCAAATATCACCCAAACCGTCCTCTCCGCCCCTCGCACAACCTCCTGCTCACTAGCTCCCTTGTCTCCTCCTCCCATGCTCATCTCCAGGACTTCTCCACAGCCTCCCCCATCCTCTGGAACTCTCTACCCCAATCTATCAGACTATCGCCTACTCTGCTCACTTTTAGGCGATCTCTGAAAGCCGATCTCTTCAGGGAAGCCTATCCCGCCCTCAGCTAATGATGGAATCTTCTACTCTTCCAACCAGTCCATCCCCCACAGTTATTACCTTTTGTACCACTAGCCCCTCCCTCTTAGATTGTAAGCTCCCAGGATCAGGGCCCTCCCATCCCTCTTGTATTGATCTGTATTGTTGCTGTATTGCCTCCCGTTATATTGTACAGCGCTGAGCACACGTTTGGCGCCATAAATCCTGTATAATAATTTCTGAGTAAGCCCTTTCGGGTGAAACGCGTTAGTGGGGCGGTCCTGAGGGAGGGGACTGTCGCAGCGATTGCTGAACCTGTGTGATGTCACTGGCGTGCGGAGAGTTTCCTCCTTCTGCAAATACATGAAACCATTCAGGAAATCTGGACGCTCTTCAGACCACGACACACACAGATCTCATTTCCAAAAAAAGGTTTAATCCAGACAGAAAAATATCAACATTTACATCCCCCAGACCGGAAAAATCATCTCCCCCTTCTGAAAGAAAAAAAAAAAAAAAGGAGGGAAGAAAAAGATTGTTCTTTCCCAGGCCCGTTTCTCCCCGCACCAGGAACAACCAATCACCGCATCCCATCGACTTGCATAGTTCGCAGCCCCACCCCTTGTTGATGTCCCACCGGCAGCCCTGAGAAAGGGGTGAGAGGGGTCTGTCGGCCTGATGGGGCAAATCCCACACAAAGCCACTTCTACACGGCTGCTGTAGGCTCTTGGAATCGCTTTTCCAGCTTCGGCTGTAGGACCGGGGCCTGCTGTCGCTTTTCGGCATGATTTGGGGGGGGGGGAGCGGAGTGAAATGACTACGAATCTAGGGGGCGCTGTCTGTGGAGGAACGAGCCTGGCTAAAGTGAAGCAGGAACAGAGCGATCGCTTGCCGTGAGAAGCTTGAGACAGAAGGCGGACAGAACCCGTATGACTTTCTGGTGGCCCGACTCGAGGCTGATCTGTTACTGACACATTGGGTGGGGAGGGGTAAGGAAATCTGTAGTGTATGCACAGTGCAGCTCCTCCGGATCCCAGCAAGACACAGATCAGCGGGTGTCACCCACCACAGAGAGTGTGGCAGGTCAAGGCTGGCCAATAGCCCGACAGTGCTCTTTTGGCCGATTACACCGTGAGTGCCGCCTCGCTCTTCTCGTGAGCTGCCGGAGTGTGTGGCTGATCACTGCTGTTAAAGGAGGTCTCCTGTATGGAGTCTTCATCCTCTTCTTCATCCATGTTTGGCCATGATGTCTGGTCTTCTACTCGTTTCAGACGCTCGTTTAGAGCCTTCAACGCCAGCTGCCTATAGGATATAAAGAAGAAAAAAAAAAAAAGCATGGAGTAACAGAAGCTCCGAATATCCCCCAGACACATATTCCCGTTATTGAAGGGTTCGGCTGAGGTTTCTGGTTTCTTCCATTGGCCTGTAAACCAGTAAAGGACACAGCAGTGAGGCAGGGGCTAGTGAGAGACCAGGTAACCAACAGACATGTAGGGTGTCAGCGACGGCTATAACTGACATCAAGTCACTTCCTCCTGGACAGGTTAGTACAGTACAGGTATGTGGCCAAAAGCATGTGGATCCCCTCAAATTGATGGAGTTCAGGTGTCTCCAGTGAAGGGTCCAACTAGTTTGTTGAAGACCCAGACACCGACGGGACACTATTCTTTCCCCTGACCAACGACGGGGCACTATTCCTTCCCCTGACACACTATTCCTTCCTATTCCTTCCCGATACCAATTATGGGACACTATTCCTCCCAATGGCCCAATGAGACATTACTCCTCCCAGTGACCACAGGTTCTAAGTTACTTTTTATTCTCATTGGCCACAGTATGCCCCCCCCCCCAAAGTTTTAAGGACAGTGAATTTGCCCTGTTTAGTAATTTTGAAGACCCAGCTCTAGAAAATTGTGCTTTTACAACCTTGTGGTAAACAGTTTGGTGAAGACCCTTTTCTGTTCCACTATGACTGTCCCCTGGGTACAAAGCCAGCTCCATAAAGACATGGTTGGCCCAGTTTGGTGTGGAGGAACTCAAGTGTCCTGTACACAGCCCTGGCCTCAAACCTCTACTGAACACCTTTTGGATAAAATGGAATGGTGATGGTGAGCCAGGTATTCTCAACCCACATCATTACCTGACCTCACAAATGGGCAAAATTCCCACAGACACCCTCCAAAACTTTATGGGGAGTTTTCCCAGAAGATTGGAGCCTGTTCTAGCCGCATGGTTTTGATATGGAAGGTCCTACAAGCTCGTACAGGTGTGATGGTCAGGTGCCCACAAAGCCAGCTCCATAAAGACATGGTTTGACCAGTCTGGTGTGGAGGAACTCGAGTGTCCTCCACAGAGCCCTGACCTCAACCCTACTGAACACCTTTGGAATGAATTGAAGTGCTGATGGTGAGTCAGGTTTACTCACCCAACATCAGTACCTGACCTCACAAATGCTCTTTAGGATGACGGGTTCTAGCCTTCCCCAGCCTTGTGGCAACAGTTTTGGAAAGGTCCTTCTCAGTTCTAGCATAACTGTGTACAAAGCCAGCTCCATAAAGACATGGCTTGACCAGTTTGGTGTGGAGGAACTTGAGTGTCCCGCACAGTGCCCTGACCTCAAGCTACTGAACACCTTTGGGATGAATTGGAATGTTGATGGTGATCCAGGTATTTTTTTGGTGCCCAACGTGAGGCCTGATGTGTGAGCCAGGTCTTCTCATCCAACATCAGTACCTAACCTCAGAAATGGGCAAAAATTCCTAGACACCCTAAAGAATCTTCTGGAACGTCTTCCCAGAAGAGTGGAAGCTGTTATAGACACAAAGGGGGCAACTCCATATTAATGGCCATGGTTTTGGAATAGGATATCCTACAAGCTCATAAAGGTGTGATGGTCAAGTGCACAAAGACAGCTCCATAAAGACATGGCTTGACCAGTCTGGTGTGGAGGAACTCGAGTGCCCTGACTTCAACCTACTGAACACCTTTGGGATGAATTGAAGTGCTGATGGTAAGTCAGGTTTACTCACCCAACATCAGTACCTGACCTCACAAATGCTCTTTTGGATGACAGGGGTTCTAGCCTTCCCCGGCCTTGTGGCAACAGTCTTGGAAAGGTCTCAGTTTTAGCATAACTGTGTACAAAGCCAGCTCCATAAAGACATGGCTTGACCACTCTAGTGTGGAGGAACCTAAGTGTCCAGCAGAGAGCCCTGACCCCAACCCCACTGAACACTTTTGGGAGGTATTGACACGCTGATGGTGAGCCAGGTCTTTTTTTTTTTTTTTTTTTTTTTAGGTGTCCATCACGATCATATGGGTGTGATGGTCAGCTGTCAAACGTTTGGCCATCTAGTGTAATTCAGGTCCTTTGTGAGTCTTGATGTTGTTCACACAGCTCCACGGTCTCCCTACAAAGATATCTCGCCTAACAAATTATTTACACATCCAACAAGCTTGCTTATGAAAAACTACCAAACCATCGATGCACAAGGATACCTAGATTTTGGTGCATTCTAAGCTCCTTTACTCCATATTTCCACAACAGTGACCAAAAAATCCTCCAACGGCTATTCTATAGAGAGACTCCACCAACCTACAGACATTTTTCTCTGGACGTTTCACGAGAATTCATACCACCTTAACCACTTCCCGACCAGCCCATGTACATAAACGGCGGGACGGGAGCGCTGCCGGAGCGGGTGGACGTTTCTAAACGTCCCCCCACATCCATTTCCTGTGCGCGCTCGCTGAAAGCTCGCGGCACCGCGATCGGTGCCCACTGTGTCCGGAGGTCACAATTCATGTGATCACTGATTGGCCAATCAGTGATCACATGCAGAGTAGTAAACAAGATGTCACTTCCTGACACCATTGCTTACTAGGTGTGAAATCTGTGAATGATCACAGAGGTCACATGGTACAGGGCTATTCACAACAGCCTCCTACCATGTGACAAGCTGTGACCAATCACAGCTCTCACATGGTTTCTCAATGGCTGCAAGAATGCAGCCAGAGAGAAGGAGAATTTATTGCTTTACACCCATAAAGGCTGTAGAAGCAATCAGTGTAAAAAAAAGGAAAAAAAATCTTCATCACCCCCCACAAGTAGTACAGTGTCACTATGGTACACCCCCGTACATTCCATACACCCCCGTACATCCCTTACATCCTGTTACCCCCCGCACATCTCCGTACACCCCTTACATCCCTTACACCCCATACATCCCTTACACCCCCCCATACATCCCTTACACCCCAATACATCCCTTACCCCCGGTACATCCCTTACACCCCAATACATCCTGTACACCCCCGTACATCCCATACACCCCCGTACATCCCTTACACCCCGGTACATCCCTTACACCCCGGTACATCCCTTACACCCCGTACATCCCTTACACCCCAATACATCCTGTACACCCCGGTACATCCCTGTACACCCCATACATCCCTTACACCCCGGTACATCCCATACACCCCAATACATCCCATACACCCCCGTACATCCCTACACCCCCGTACATCCCTTACACCCCCGTACATCCCGTACACCCCCGTACATCCCTTACACCCCCGTACATCCCTTACACCCCCGTACATCCCGTACACCCCCGTATATCCCTTACACCCCCGTACATCCCTTACACCCCCGTACACTCCTTACACCTTGCAGGAGACCTGCATGGCATCAGCAATTTACTGATCGCTGTTGCAATGCATTCCAGGCTCCTTTGGACAAAAATAATACACCCCCGTACATCCCTTACATCCTGTTACCCCGCACATCTCCGTACACCCCATACATCCCTTACACCCCGGTACATCCCATACACCCCAATACATCCCGTACACGCCGTACATCCCGTACACCCCCCATACATCCCTTACACCCCCGTACATCCCTTACACCCCCGTACATCCCGTACACCCCCGTACATCCCGTACACCCCCGTACATCCCGTACACCCCCGTACATCCCGTACACCCCCACCCCCGTACACCTCCGTACATCCCTTACACCCCCTTACATCCCTTACACCCCCGTACATCCCTTACACCCCCGTACATCCCTTACACCCCCGTACATCCCTTACACCCCCGTACATCCCGTACACCCCCGTACATCCCGTACACCTCCTACATCCCTACATCCCTTACACCCCCTTACATCCCTTACACCCCCGTACATCCCTTACACCCCCGTACACTCCTTACACCTTGCAGGAGACCTGCATGGCATCAGCAATTTACTGATCGCTGTTGCAATGCATTCCAGGCTCCTTTGGACAAAAATAATACACATTTGTTTTTAGCTGTAAATAAATGCACATGTATTATTTTTGTCCAAAAGGTGAACATATCCTTTAAATTAAATTTTTTTACTTTTTTTTTTCTTTTAATCTAAATTTATTGCTATCACTAGGGGGCTGACAAGCCACCTTGTAAGAGTTTGAGCAGATGACAGGTACTCTTTGTAGAGATATCAGGGGGTCTATTAGACCCCTGATGTCTCCCTTGTCCTCCAAAGCAGCTAACCAAGCAAAAATCGTGCTCGATCAGCTGCTTCCTTGGCTGTAATGGCCCGGGGGCAAATGATCGCTCTGAAAGGGAAAGTGATGAAATGAATGTCGCTTCTGGGTTCATTCGTACAAGGGAGGAGAATAAACGTTCCCGCTTCTCTCTGTAGAAAGCGGTCTTAGCTGTTTACCGCAGTCCCAGGCTCCCCAGAGGAAAGGGAGAGCCTGGGAACCACCACGGACGCAACACGTAGGGGCGGGCTATTCCAAGCACTGTATAAGTGATCGCTTTTACAAATCAGCCAATCGCTGGCCAAAAAAAAAAAGAAATTTACAAGTTCAATCAGTTGCTGGCTGGACGATTGTATACGTACGTCGGTCACCAAGTGGTTAAAAATCAAAAGTCGCTAAATCAAAAGGCGTTTCGCGTCCTCTTTTTAAATAGGTCCCTTTGAAAGGGCAAGATAATTTGCCCTGTGACTGGTCAGGTGCCGGAAGATGAGACAATGACTAGAGTGAGCCATGACATAACGAGAAGTGACGGGGGATAGAATAGAGCGTTCGTCCTGAAGGAAGATCGTCGACGGAGCGCGCCCTGGAACGGTTAATGGCCTGCAAGGAGCCGTGTGCCGTAAGGGCCCCGGGCCCGCGCTTTGTTCCATCGCTTTCTCCTCTTTTCTTTCCAGGCCTCCATTCTCTCTTGTCTCCGGCGGCCACGTACCCAATAAGGCGCTGCGTACCCATGCGCTGACAGGCGCTACCAGGCTGCAATCGCTGCGGGGCGGACAGTGACAGAATTAATTCATCATCTACATAACAACCTTGTGCGTAAGAAAAGATCAGCTGGACCGTGAACCAGACACCCCGGGGTGAGGGGGGGGGGGGGGGTACTTCTACCCAAACGGGAGATGGAGAGTCAACGCAAATTCCTCCAAGATGACCAACCAGTTCCCAAAACGACCAGCGGGGGGGCGGTAAGAATACATAAATAAGACGTCTAGTTTATACCGTCTTCAGGTTTGGTCACGTCTTCCGCTCTGCAACAGTTCAGCTGCTTTACCTGCCGAGCCACTCGCCCTCCTGAGGATTTACCCCCCTTTCAAAATTATACCGAAAAAAAAAGCTAACCCTAGAGCTTTGTTTGTAAACACAGCCATGTGATCCCGTGTTAACCCCTTGCCCCTCTTTCAAAATTATACCGAAAAAAAAGGCTAACCCTAGAGCTTTGTTTGTAAACACAGCCATGTGATCCCGTGTTAACCCCTTGCCCCCCTTTCAAAATTATACCGAAAAAAAAAGCTAACCCTAGAGCTTTGTTTGTAAACACAGCCATGTGATCCCATGTTAACCCTTGCCCCCCTTTCAAAATTATACCGAAAAAAAAAGCTAACCCTAGAGCTTTGTTTGTAAACACAGCCATGTGATCCCGTGTTAACCCCTTGCCCCCCTTGCAAAATTATACCAAAAAAAAAAAGCTAACCCTAGAGCTTTGTTTGTAAACACAGCCATGTGATCCCGTGTTAACCCCTTGCCCCCCTTGCAAAATTATACCAAAAAAAAAAAGCTAACCCTACTTCTTTGTTTGTAAACACAGCCATGTGATCCCCATGTGTTAACCCCTCGCCCTCCTGAGGATTCCCCACCCCCTTCCTGACAAGGCCATTTTGTTGCGTTACGGCGCTGCGTTACTTTGACAATTGCGCGGTCATGCAACGCTGCACACAAATAAAATTTACGTCCTTTTTTTCCCCACAAATAGAGCTTTCTGTTGGTGGTATTTGATCCACTCTGCAGTTTTTATTTTTTGCGCTATAGAAAATGAAAAAAAACTATATTTTTGACTTTTTGCTAAACATGTCCAGTAAAAAAAAATCTAATTTCAACATAAATTTCGGCCAAAATTTGTTCCGTTTCATATCTTTGCTAGAAAAAAAAATTTGCAACACGTGTAAATTAATTGGTTTACGTGAAAGTTATAGTGTCTATAAATGGCGGGATACTGGAAATTGTTTTTTTTTCTGCTAGTAATGGCGGCGATCAGCGACTTATAGCGGGACTGCGGCGGGACAGTCTGACACTGGGGGGGGGGGGGGGGGAACTGACTTGGTGTCACTGAAATCCCCGGTGACACCAATACAGTGCTAATAAAAAGCACCGACACTGTACTAATGGCACTGGGGAGGAAGGGGTTAACATGAGGGGCGATCAAAGGGTTACCTGTGGGCTGGGAGTGTTTTACTAGGGGGTGGGGGGTCTGTGTGTTTCATTGTATTCACACTGCTGTGGATGGCTGTGCCCGAGCTGACAGGGAAAAGGACTGTTAGTAAACAAACCAGTCCTCCTCCCTGTTGGAGATGCTCAGTAATCCCCGAGTGCAGGCGGGTAATCACCTTCCGGGACCCCGTGATTGACAACCGGGGCCGCGAATGGCGGTGCAAACAGGGCGCGTGCTGAGAACTTAAAGGAAAGGTACAGTCAAAGCTCGTCTGGCTGTTCGTTCTGTAGTTCGTTCTGCACTCCTGTGACCCGGTTTCAGCTGACAGCGGGCTAAAGTCAGCTGATGTCACTCAGCCGGTCCAGGCTTGGGAAAGATGTCTGGAGTGGCCCCTGGCTCAGCCTCTCAGCGATTCATTGAGAACCTGAGCCAGCCGCTCCCTCCCCCTCCACAGCCTGGCGCTCCAGTAGTGCTGAGGGATGGGGAGAGCAGAGAGCAGTGACTGACAGATACCAGATCTCTGCTCATGGAGCATTGAGAACTGAGCGATCAGTGGTGTTTGATTGCTCAGTTCTCTGGTGGAGGACAGATGCTGCATCCACCTAGGTAAGCAGAGCAGGATCTAGCCTGTCTGATGTGGGAGTGCAATAAAAAATGGGGGGGGTCAGCAGGGTGGAGGTTGGAGCCACCGCTGGCATAACAGGGTGGAGGAACGGAGCCACCACTGGCAGGGCGGAGGAACGGGAGCCACTGCTGGCAGGGCAAAATACGGGAGCCACCGCTGGCAGGGCGGAGGAACGGAAGCCACCGCTGGCAGGGCAGAGGGCAGGAGCCACCGCTGGCAGGGCGGAGGAACGGGAGCCACCACTGGCAGGGCAAAAGACGGGAGCCACCGCAGGCAGGCGGAGGGACGGAAGCCACCGCTGGCAGGGCGGAGGGACGGAAGCCACCGCTGGCAGGGCGGAGGGACGGAAGCCACCGCTGGCAGGGCGAGGGACGGGAGCCACCGCAGGCAGGGCGGAGGGACGGGAGCCACCGCAGGCAGGGCGGAGGGACGGGAGCCACCGCTGGCAGGGCGGAGGGACGGGAGCCACCGCTGGCAGGGCGGAGGGACGGGAGCCACCGCTGGCAGGGCGGAGGGACGGGAGCCACCGCTGGCAGGGCGGAGGGACGGGAGCCACCGCTGGCAGGGCGGAGGGACGGGAGCCACCGCTGGCAGGGCGGAGGGACGGGAGCCACCGCTGGCAGGGCGGGGCAGGAGCCACCGCTGGCAGGGCGGAGGGACGGGAGCCACCGCTGGCAGGGCAGAGGGACGGGAACCACTGCTGGCATTCAGAACTCCTTCTCCCCACACAGATAGCTTTGGGGTTGGGCAGAGCCCACTCCAGCACCTCCTTAGATCCAGCCGTGTAGGTATGATTTCTAAAAAAACAAAAAAAAAAACTCCCCTCAACTTCTCTTTTAAAGTGACCCCCCCCCAATGTCCATGATTCCCTACTACTCAGTAAGGGTGTTGCATTGTGGGATGGAACTCACAAAAAGCCTAGAGGCCTATTCTTGTGGACGCTACGCCTTGTAATATTTAATCCTAGAAAAATATGTCCCCCGTGTGACTATTGTGTCCTGCAATGACTTGGGGTCAGCACATCCGTAGCGAGGGGGGGGGGGGGGGGGGGGGGGGGGTCACGCAATTGAGAACACCAGGGGAGTCCAATCAGACCGGTGCCAGGAGCTCTACTACACAGCAAACAGGCGACAGACAGGCAAGTACAGGTTTTGATAACTTTACAGGACGGTTTTATTAAAAGTTCCAAACCAACTGGTTATTACTTACAAAACTCTATGGACTCCCCTCCCCCCACACGACAGAGCTGGGCCAGTCACTAGGTGCTAACACTGTCACATGTGAGAAGAGGAGCAGGTCCAAATGTTCACCCATAGCCAGGTATGCTGGGCATTTCAATTCACTTTCGGCCCGATGGTGTGCTGGGGAAAGGAAGGAGGATTAAGTGACCCGGCATGGGTGAGGTGAAGGTCGCTTGAGGTTATAAAGACCCAACAAGCTCAACTGTCTTTGTAGTTATGTGTTGAGCAATAGTGATGATGAAGGCAACTGCTATTTCTGAGACAGTGAGCTGAGGCCAGGACATTCCCCACCTTGCAGATGCATGTAGACAAAGGGGGGGGATGATCATGACATCATTGACCGAATTTGGCCACCTGCTTTTATTAGATCAATGTCCTTGCCCTGCTAACGGCCGCGCTGGCTCAACGGCGTTGGCCTGCTAGCGGCCACGCTGGCTCAACGACGTTGGCCTGCTAACGGCCGCGCTGGCTCAACGACGTTGGCCTGCTAACGGCCGCGCTGGCTTAACGGCGTTGGCCTGCTAACGGCCACGCTGGCTCAACGGCGTTGGCCTGCTAACGGCCACGCTGGCTCAACGGCGTTGGCCTGCTAACGGCCACGCTGGCTCAATGGCGTTGGCCTGCTAACAGTCGCCCTGGGTCAACGTAGCTGGCCTACTATGGCTGCTTTGGGTCAACATCGCTAGCCTACTACGGCTGCCTTGGGTCAACATCGCTAGCCTACTACGGCCGCCTTGGGTCAACGTTGCTGGCCTACTACCGCCACCTTGGGTCAACGTCGCTAGCCTACTACGGCCGCCCTTGGGTCAACGTCGCTGGCTTACTACGGCTGCCCTGGGTCAACGTCGCTGGCTTACTACGGCTGCCCTGGGTCAACATCGCTGGCCTGCTACGGCTGCCCTGGGTCAACGTCGCTTGGCCTACTACGGCTGCCCTGGGTCAACGTCGCTTGGCCTACTACGGCTGCCCTGGGTCAACGTCGCTTGGCCTACTACGGCTGCCTTGGGTCAACGTCGCTGGCCTACTACGGCTGCCTTGGGTCAATATCACGTTGGGGCAAATTAAGCCAATGACATTGACCCAATGTGGCCATAGTAGGCCAATATTGAACTAACGTGGTCAAAGTGTGCCAATGACATTGACCCACCATGGCTGTAGTAGGACAATGACAATAACCCATTAGCTTGTTGTCAATGGCTTACTATGGCTACATGGACATGTTAGGTCAATATCATCAACCAACTGAGGCCACATCAGGTCAATATCATGTTCGTGTTCTGGTAAGCCAATGACATTGTCCTAATGTGGCCTCCGTTGGTCGTAGTAAGCCAATGACAAACCATTATCTTATTGTCCTACCATGGCCACCTGACCATGTTAGGTCAATATCAGCCTACTATGGCCACATTAGGTCAATGTCTTTGGCCTACTACAGCCACGGTAGGTCAATGTCATTGACCTACCATGGCCATGCTAAGTCTATGGCAATACACTAACATGGCCGCAGTAGGTCAGTGACATTGACCTGACATGGCCATGTCATCATATTAGGTCAATGTCGTTCATTTGTGGGGCAGGGTACCCCCATCCACAGCTTATTGGCCAAGCATGAACAGCTGACTTTTGAGTTCAGCTGAACCTAAGCTCATCCCTACTCAGCAACAAGTAGCCTTGCAGCTGTTAAGAAGCCACAATTGTTCAAGACACGCTGAGGTTCCTCAACAGCTGGAGGTCAATATTTCATAGATAGTTGACCACACAATATTCACCTTCGCCTTTCTGCGTCTTGAGGGTCAGTTCCAGGCAGGCTGATGGTGATGGACGAAGGAGCCCCAACATCATATCTCTTTACCGCTCGCGGGCACAGCCGCAGTTTCACCAAGAAGGCGTGCGTCAGGTTGCCCAGGAGAGCCACTGCCGGCTGAAGAGGACCAGGGAAGAAGCTAGCAAAGGAGAAGTGATCAGACATGTCTCCTCTGCCTCGGCTGTGTCTTTGATAGAAGCGTAGATACACCCAACCGGATACCATTCCAAGGCTGTACCCCACCAACATCGGGCTGGGGATCAAACCAGCCAACGTCAGCACCGCCACACCCAGAAGGGCCAGCTGGGGCAGAAGCCGGACCCATCTTTGGGAATCCACCAGTCCATCTCCGACAGTCTGCTTATGTGCCACCAAAACAGCTCCTGCAAAAGCGGGAAAACCATGGATTCGGGTGTTGAAGAGGAAGTTGAGGTTGGAAGAGGCCGCGTAGGCTACCAGGAAACAGAGGGAGCTCAAGACACCCACAGAAATGCTCACAACGCCATAAAACAGTAGGAGTTCCGGGGCCCCCCAAAGTGGTTCCAGTCTCCGACCAGCCCCCAAAGTCAAAAGAAGGTTTGCCAAAACGTCCCAGATGTGAAGCTCCACTAGTCCATGCGTGAACAGGGTCCACAGCCAAAGGTTGGGGGGCAGCAGCAGGAGGCCTGGAGTGACAGCCAAGACACGCCAAGTGTCGACCCAAAAGGAGAGAAGATAAAGGAGCAGAACCGACCCCCATAGGCACTTTACCAGGACGCTGCTGCCAGACACGACCGCTACCAGGCGGTTCGCAGGGATGGAGCGGAGCATGGTGGTTCTTGGTGGGCGACCTTACCGGTTTCTGAACCCCGTGCCACCCGATGTCCTGGGACTCTGCAAACAAAACACCGGCTCCTAATGATGGTCAACCATCAGTTGTGTGAGCGTGGGGCCCCGAGGTCCTGGGAACGACTCAAGGAAGCTGACAAGTCCTTATCGCTTATGAAGAGTGGGGGGGGGGCCCCCAACGATCTACCGGTGTCACCCACCACAGGAACACTGGACCCTGCTGGATGAGAGTCCTATGGAGATGTGTGGCCCTGGAACTGCTGGATGAAAGTCCTATGGAGATGTGTGGCCCTGGAACTGTTGGATGAGAGTCCTATGGAGATGTGTGGCCCTGGAACTGCTGGATGAGAAGTCCTATGGAGATGTGTGGCCCTGGGCACTGTTGGATGAGAGTCCCATGGAGATGTCGGCCCAGGGCACTGTTGGATGAGAGTCCTAAGGAGATGTGTGGCCCCAAGGGCACTGTTTAATGAGAGACCCATGGAGATGTCGGGCCCTGGGCACTGTTGGATGAGAGTCCCTATGGAGATGTGTGGCCCTGGACCTGTTGGATGAGAGTCCTATGGAGATGTGTGGCCCTGGACCTGTTGGATGAGAGTCCTATGGAGATGTGTGGCCCTGGAACTGTTGGATGAGAGTCCTTTGGAGATGTGTGTCCCAGGGCACTGTTGGATGAGACTCCTTAGGAGATGCGGGGCCCCAGGCACTGTTGGATGAGTCCAGTAGGGAAGTGGGGTCCTGGAACTGCTGGATGAGAGACCAATGGGGATGTGGGGTGACAGGCACTGCTGGATAAGGAGCCCTATGGCAAGGGGCCCCGGGCACTATGACGAAACTGGAGAACGTTTAGAGCTGTGTGGCCCCTGACACTATGGCACTGCTGGATTTGGAACTATGGGGCCCCCAGAACCAGTAGATGAACTTCTGGGGCCCCTGACACCAGTCTATGAATTCTTGGAGCCCCTGACACCTGTCTATGAACTTCGGGGCCCTTGATAGCAATATATGGAATTTTGGGGCCCCTGACACCAGTCTATGAACTCCTGGGGCCCTTGGTACTTCTAGAGGAACTGTGGGGCCTCTGACACTGCTGGAAGATGTCCGGACGTCTCCTACTCCTCTGGGGCCCCTGGAGGAACTCTGGAGCCACTGAAACAGCTGGATCCGGAAACCTGGGGCCACCGACTCTTCTGAGGGAGGTCCCTGGTGCCCTTCGGAAGTGGCACTACCGGACACGGGTCTCCCGGAGCCCTGGCGCTGCTCGGGGGTCTGTTGTGGGCCCCTGTCCGCTCCCAGGCCTCGTCTCTCCCGGAAAGACCGGACTTGTTCCACCCGACAACGTCACCAGCAGTGCAGCGCAAACACCTCACCACGCATGAGCAGAAAGGCCACCTTCGCATTGCACGCCGGGAGATGCTGTCTAGAGGGGCGGTGGGTGAGTATACTCCGCGTGCGCTAACTCTTCCGCAAATCACGGCGACGGCTTCAAGTTGGCAGGGTACGCATGCGCTGCCCATTCCGCGCTGCACGCCGGGAGGTGAAAGGTTTACCGCTGTGGCTTCAGCAGTGCAAAATGCGCATGCGCTGCCCAGAGATGTCATTACGCCCACTCTGCCTTTCACTCCCCGATTGGGCCTCGACTACTCACGTGGTTAAAGAAGTTCCTCCTGCTTCTGCTACCCAGCCATAGGAAATAAATGAACCATTACAAGGCCTTGGGTGTCAGTTCTGCTGAGTGACATATATACAGAGTATACATATATATACCATACGTCACACTATGCTACATTGTATGACATTACATTATATTCCTTTACAATGTACACGATACTAGATCAGGTTATACTGCATTTTATGACATTATATTACATTATTTTACAATGTGCATGATATTATATAATGATCTGTTATATTATGTTATATTATATTATATTATGTTATGTTATATTATGTTATGTTATATTATGTTATATTATGTTATATTATGTTATATTATATTATGTTATATTATGTTATGTTATGTTATGTTATATTATGTTATGTTATGTTATATTATACTATATTATGTTATGTTATGTTATGTTATATTATGTTATATTATGTTATATATTATGTTATATTATATTATATTATGTTATATTATATTATATATTATGTTATATTATATTATGTTATGTTATATATTATGTTATATTTATATTATGTTATGTTATATTTATGTTTATATTATGTTATGTTATATTATATTATGTATATGTTATGTTATATTATGTTATGTTATATTATATATTATGTTATGTTATATTATGTTTATGTTATATTATGTTATGTTATGTTATGTTATGTTATATTATGTTATGTTATGTTATGTTATATTATGTTATGTTATATTATATATTATGTTATGTTATATTATGTTATGTTTATGTTATATTATGTTATGTTATATTATATATTATGTTATATTATATTATGTTATGTTATGTTAAATTATGTTATGTTATATTATATATTATGTTATATTATGTTATATATTATGTTATGTTATATTATGTTATGTTATATTATGTTACATTATATTATGTTATGCTAGATTGTAAGCTCGAACAACCTCGAACCCCTCGTGTATTGTATTGTTACTGTCTCGTCTCATGTTCTGTCTCTCCTTGCTATTGCACAGCGCTGAGCAAACCCTTTGGCGCTATATAAATACTGTATAATAATAATAATATTATCTTATGTTATATTATATTATATTATATTATCTTATGTTATATTATATTATATTATCTTATGTTATATTATATTATATTATATTATCTTATGTTATATTATATTATTATATTATCTTATGTTATATTATATTATATTATATTATCTTATGTTATATTATATTACATTTTATGACATTATATTACATTACATTATTTTACAATGTGCATGATATTATATTATACCTTCCCTCTTAGATTGTAAGCTCCCAAGATTAGCCCCTCCCTCTTAGATTGTAAGATCCCAAGATTAGCCCCTCCCTCTTAGATTGTAAGCTCCCAGGATCAGGCCCTCCTATCCCTCTTAGATTGTAAGCTCCCAGGATCAGGGCCCTCCTAACCCTCTTGTATTGATCTGTATAGTTGCTGTATTGTCTCCCGTTATATTGTAAAATGCTTAGCAAACTGTTGGCGCCATCAATCCTGTATAATAATAATTATATTTATGTTGTATTATATTACATTTTATGACATTATATTACATTACATTATTTGGGTTGTTGTCTCTTTAAGAGGGGAGGGCAACTTGTATGCAGTTTGGAGCACTCAGGGGTTCTCACCCATGCAGGGTGAGGGGTTCTGGGTTGTCCACTAAGAAAAAGAGAAACCTGTTTTGCATTTTTTCTCAGAATCGGTAAGTTCTCATTTGGGGCCCGGAATTAAGAGGCTCTGAGAGACTTTTGTAAGAACCTCCAACCCCTGATTGCAGGGATTCTTGTCTCGATGATGGGGGAGGGGGTGTAAAGAGGAACAGGAAGAGCAGAACACAGCAGTGGAAGCCAGGGGCGTATTCAGCATGAGGCAAATAAGGCGATTGCCTTGGGCAGCATTTCTCAGGGGGGTGGGGCCGTCCCCTGATCTCCATGTATAATACATAAGGGGGGATATGATCTCCATGTATAATACATAAAGGGGATATGATCTCCATGTATAATACATAAGGGGGGGATATGATCTCCATGTATAATACATAAGGGGGGATATGATCTCCATGTATAATACATAAGGGGGGGATATGATCTCCATGTATAATACATAAGGGGGGATATGATCTCCATGTATAATACATAAGGGGGGATATGATCTCCATGTATAATACATAAGGGGGGATATGATCTCCATGTATAATACATAAGGGGGGGGGGGGGGATATGATCTCCATGTATAATACATAAGGGGGGATATGATCTCCATGTATGTATAATACATAAGGGGGGGGATATGATCTCCATGTATAATACATAAGGGGGGGATATGATCTCCATGTATAATACATAAGGGGGGATATGATCTCCATGTATAATACATAAGGGGGGATATGATCTCCATGTATAATACATAAGGGGGGGGATATGATCTCCATGTATAATACATAAGGGGGATATGATCTCCATGTATAATACATAAGGGGGGGGGATATGATCTCCATGTATAATACATAAGGGGGGATATGATCTCCATGTATAATACATAAGGGGGGATATGTCTCCATGTATAAATACATAAGGGGGGATATGATCTCCATGTATAATACATAAGGGGGGATTGATCTCCATGTATAATACATAAGGGGGGGATATGATCTCCATGTATAATACATAAAGGGGGGATATGATCTCCATGTATAATACATAAGGGGGGATATGATCTCCATGTATAATACATAAGGGGGGATATGATCTCCATGTATAATACATAAGGGGGGGGATATGATCTCCATGTATAATACATAAGGGGGGATATGATCTCCATGTATAATACATAAGGGGGGATATGATCTCCATGTATAATACATAAGGGGGGGATTATGATCTCCATGTATAATACATAAGGGGGGGATATGATCTCCATGTATAATACATAAGGGGGGGATATGATCTCCATGTATAATACATAAGGGGGGATATGATCTCCATGTATAATACATAAGGGGGGGATATGATCTCCATGTATAATACATAAGGGGGATATGATCTCCATGTATAATACATAAGGGGGGGATATGATCTCCATGTATAATACATAAGGGGGGATATGATCTCCATGTATAATACATAAGGGGGGGATGATCTCCATGTATAATACATAAGGGGGGATATGATCTCCATGTATAATACATAAGGGGGGGATATGATCTCCATGTATAATACATAAGGGGGGATATGATCTCCATGTATATAATACATAAGGGGGGGATATGATCTCCATGTA